AATTATAGTTCTAGTTAATACACTTAATTAGTAAGGATATTTTAGAAAAGATAACACCTATTTAGGATAAATAACTAGCTCAACTTACTTCCTTAATCCCTTTAAATTAGTTAACTGGTTTTTATAATTACGACCGGAGGTAGTATAAGAGCTTGTTAAACATTTAGTTTTGATTCTAAATAATATTCCCTCCGTTCCTTATTATAAGAGACGAATAACCGAATTACGTTGATCAAAAAATAAGTTAAAATTAGTTAAGAACAATCAATATAATTTTTTTTCCAAAAATGCCCTCATTAATAAGGAGAGAGAGCATGAAAGAGAATAATTAAATTATTGAAAGAAAGAGAAGTGAGAGGGAGAGAGAGTGTGAGTTGAAGACAATAAATATGGATAAAATAGGAAATCAACACAAAAAAGTAGAGACAACTTTTAAGTGTCTCTTATATATAGGAACATGCCATAAGCATCAAATGTCTCTTATAATAAGGAACGGAGGGAGTAGTATAAACAACAGGCTGGGTCTTGTAAATTGCAATTGCTTCCTTGTGAATTAAATTGGAAACAAAAGAAAAGGAAAGAAAGGATTAGGAGATGATCAAATCCGAGAAGAGTCACTGATCACAGTTATATTAATGCTACGAAAGGCTAACCTTCGCGCGTTTCCAATTATCGCAAGAAAACCAGAAAAGCGTCAGAACCTTAATCCCCCAACTACAACACAGATCGATTATCTTCATCATCGATTGAACGCCGGCCTCATGACCCGTCGACGGCGGCAACCCCCGCATCTTAGCCCATCTCCTATTTCCGTCCATACTCACCGCCACATGCTTCGGCATCAGATCCGATCGCAGCTCGGGCGGCAACGGCTCCGGCTCCGCCAATGATCCCGAAACAACAGCCACATCTCGCGAATGAAGTACGGTCCTGCGACTCTGAAAACTGGGAAAGAGTGAAGGAGAGGAGAAACGGCGGTGTGTTTGGTAACGGGGACAAGTAAGACTATGAGGATGAGGAAATAGAGTTACAGTATTCTCCACGAGAATAGGAAGCCTGTGCAGGAACATGCTACTCCGGTTACGGAATACGAGAGAATGTGTGTTTGGCGCCACCGTACGCAGACGGCTGGGATTTGAATTTGTTTAAGAGCCTTTATGCTGGTTAAAAAAAAAAAGGAAATTGACTGGGAACACGTCTACCGCAAGGGCCGAATTGTCTTTTAGATTCAAAATTTCTATTTCTATGTGACGTAACTTGCTAATAGTTTAATTTGATTATTTTGACGGTTGTCATTTATTTATTGAAACGGTGCTATTAGTTAAATAATTTAGATTTAGAAGTTGCGTAATCAACTTAAATTGATTTCATCAATGATGCAAAATCTTGCTTAATGCTTTCCTTAAAAAATTTTTTATTCCTTATTTCCAAACATTATATATATAATTAATACAGTTATATTTGACTTTATAAATTGATACTTTTATATTTTCTACTCTTAAAAATTATAAACTGTTTTTGATACGAAACTTGTTTTGTTTAGAATTGAACTCAACTTAATTTTTAAAGATATTTTATTAATTATGTCAGAATGGAGTAAAAATTAAAAAGTTATGATTATATGAAGTTGAGCAATTAGGTACGATTTTTTAAGTAAAACTAGAAACTTCTCCCCAGGAGACATTTGAAGAAACATGAACATGTTATATGATAGAATTATTTTAATATGGAAGTAATGCATTTAAAGGTTGTTTATTATGATATTAAGTGGTCAATGTATTGAGTATTTGTTTTTTTTAAACCTTCTAAGCCATTAATTTGAAATCAATCTCATGAGCATGACTTGTCAAATTGCGTTGTCCCCCGCCCCCTAATTGTTTCAAAGACATTTTAAATCAAGTACTTTAATTTCATTCTTGTTATTGACACCAAATTAACTTAATTATTAACCGGTCAATTTGCTCATGTTTTGCTAAAGTGTATTGAAAGGTTTTGGAATTTAACACGTAAGTTTCCAAATTAACTACTACCTCTGGTCCTAATTATAAGAGCCAGTTGACTAATTTGAGAAGATTAAGAAAGTAAGTTGAGTTAGTTATTTGTCCTAAATAGGTATTGTCTTTTCTAAAATATCCTTATTAACCAAGTGTATTGACTAGAACTATTATTATTAGAAGGGCTATTTTGGAAAAAATATATAAATATGAGAGACAAAATGGATTTGGGTCTTATATTTAGGACCAAAATAAAAATCAAATAGAGTCTTATATTAAGGACCGAAGATACTATTCAATAAAGATGAAACTGATCTTTCTTCAATAAAGTTGAAGAGAGGGTATTATAGATGGGATAATAACATGGTGGCTACAAAAATTGGATAATTACCCATAGTTTTTTTGCCCCCATTTTTTTGTTTAGTTTTTCATTTTTTGGCACGAATTTTTTTGTTTTATTTTTCATTATGAGACATTCAACCGAAAGATAAAATTGTGTCCATTTTATTCAAACGCAATCTGAATAGATGCCTTAAGAGGTTGTCTTAACATATTTACAAAGCATGATTTATCTTTGATGCAATTGAATTTGTTTAATATTAAAAAGATAATATTGAACCTTGGTACGTAGTAAACTTAAATTGACCATGTGAAAGAATAATACTCATAAAACAGTATAAACCGTTACATTTAACCACATGATAACAAAGTTTAGTATCATATTAACTAAACGTATTTGAAAATTTGAAATTGAAATGATTTAATCAGTAATGTTTTATCTGAGTGACTTTATCTGGTATTCTCCACGGGCGCACACACACACACACACATATATAATGGGAATAGCCTGTGCAGGAACATGGCGTGTGTATGTTTTTGCAGAAGAGCAACATATCATTAGGCGTTCACTTTCAACTTCCTGAAGCAATAATGCTTTCTGAACTCTTCATCACCAAATGGACGATTTACCCCAACAAAGTAGAAGAATTTATTGTTCTAATAGCGACGGGTCTAGTCGGGAAGGAATTAGTTCTTATCAGGATTTGAATCTTCATTAAAAGAGGTAGTCATGTTTAGTATCTCATGGCACCTTAAAGTCAGATTGCTTCCCATGAAAAAATAACCATATGCGAGGCAAAAACAAACACAGATGCCTGAATTCGCAGCTTCAGTAGTAAGTATCTGAACTTCATAGCATGTTTTAGCATTATATTGTTGACACTAATGGTGAAAATCTTGGGATGCAAATACTACTCCACGTGTGGATAATTTTGCACAGGCACGTGTATTCAGTATTCATGATGGGTTTCTTTCTGGGCTTCATCTTGCAGCTGGGTGGAACGTCCACGTACAGCTCGGTGGCTAGAGCATTACCAACGTATCTTCTTTGGATTCTGGATTCTCTCTCTCGATTCATATCAATCGATCGATATTCCTTGCAATAAGAAACTTCCACTTGATACAAGATCACAGGCACCTGTATGTTTGGAATCACAGGTTCGCTAACAAGATCATCATCGATACGTTTGAACAGAAGTCCCACATCGACTAAAATGAATAAGAAAGTGCACTATATATAACACTGACACAAACAGCAGCTCGCCGAGCTGGGTAACGTCAGCTTGTAACCCAAGTGGGGGCATCAAGGTGATGGAACACGGATCTGGTTTCGCCTGGTTGGGTCGGGGGAGGCAATTTGCTGGCCTGCCCGTTCCAAGTGAAGAGCTGAGCCATGGGTCCTGAGCGAAGGCTTGAGATTCATGGTTCCTAGACGAGAGGGCACTGCGTGAGGCTGGTTTCACAGAGCAGCGACAACCTCTGGCTCCTTACAGTGGAAGGATCACAGGCTGCTGCTCCTCCAGCCCACTACGCCCGGTGAGCCTAGCCGCTTGAACCATCACCTTTTTGCCCCGCCCAGAGCTGGCCGAACGTTAGGTCATATCGGGTTTTGCAGATTAATTTCTCACTAAAAAAAGCTAAATGCTGATGTAAAAAGATATCCCACGTCTTTTGGCCCAATATAGGTAATATAGAATCATGTTGAATTAATTTTTTCCAATAAGAATTATATATATATATTTATATATACTATCTTCCATCCTTCATATAAAAGTTAATTGATTAATTTGAGTATATTAAAAAAATTCTAAATTAGTTATTTATAATAAATATGTGTTATCTCTTCTAAAATACTTCACTGATCATGTGTATTGGCTAAAATTATTATTTGATAGAATCTTTAAAATATGTAATTACTATAATGACTACTTTAAAAAAATAGTTAAATATGAAAAATAAAATAGATTGGAGTTTTGTATTTAAGATTCAATTAAAAATCAAAGTAGAGGATGTAGTACATTAATTTATTTCTAACTATAAATAAATTTATCCGTTCAAAATATATTTCATATTATAATTGAATTCCTTAAAAATCACATAAAAGAAAATTATATTTTTAAGACATTAGTCTAAAATTATCATTCATCCATCCAGCACATGTTGAGAATGGCTAATCCTGGCCCAAAAAGAAAAAAAGAACAAGAAAAAGAAAGGGTCTGTTTGGCTTTATGTTTTTAAACCCATATTTATTTTGAAAAACAAAAAATAAAAATATATGGTTTAAAATCTGTTTTTGGTTATGTGCTTTGAAAACGAAAAAAAAAAGGTTAAAATTTGCTTTAAAAAATAAAAAAAATTATTATATCTTTCTAAAGTTTTATTACTTTATGTTCTACAAAATTAATTAGAATACAGTAATAATGAAAATTATACTAATAAAGCATATTATTTTTTCACCATTTACTAATTAATGCACTAAAAACATACAAATAAAAAATAAAATCAGACAAGCCCATTTTTGTTTTTAAAAAAAGAGCGGCCAACCGTCTCGAATCACCTGGATGCAGCGAATAATGTAATATAAACCCAGCATTATTTGTGGCGGTGAGTGGCTCCCAAAAACCAATTTGAATATGGAAATTCGATTCTTAAAGCAAAACCAGAATCAATGGCAATCGTACCTTCGAACATCACATGAATCAGAACCCCATGGCCGTCAATCTCAGTTCCACCGCTTCTCTTCGCCCTGCACCTTCCTTTCTCCTCAGGAAAAACAATTCCGTCCTCAAATTCTACCCTTATTCTTCAACCAGAACTCCTGCTCAGTCACAAGGGGCTGAGGCTGGAGTTACAGAGGAAGATTCCCCGGCGGGTATGTCTTTCATTTTTATTTGGCTTTTTGTTTGCTTTGGGTTGAATTCAAATCTTAAGCATGAATTTTCAAGTGCGCTGTTTGAGTTGCAGAGTATACTTCGTTCTATAAGAAGACCGATCAGCTCTATATTCTACTTTTAAGAATATCGATAAGCTTTATATACTTGTGAGCTGTTTGAGCTGCAGAATATACTTCTTTTGTTTTTAATTGGTTAGTCTTGTTGGCTTCTCATGTATATAGCCATGTTTCTGAGTTTCTTATATGAAAGCAAAAGTAGTTTGATCTGGATTCTGTGGCTCAGCTGAACACAAACGCCTTGAGGACAGAAAAATGATGAGAGTCCAATGCTAGATGTACTTACATGAATTGTGTATGAAGTCTGATAAAAGGAACATATATATTTTACAGGATTCATTTGCAGGAAATTTTATGCTATTCTTTTCAGTGTGAGTGAAAGCAATAGAGAAAAGGGAAAATAATGAAAGGAACTCATAGCTTGCTGAAGAAAGCTACTTTTTGCTTCATCAAGCTCCAGAGCTTTTTTATGTTTATGCCTGGTTCTACTAATCAACTAGTTCATGTCCTGAATGTTATCGGATGCAGTTATTTATGCCCTCTCACAGAAGTCCCTCATATTCTTTTATGACTTCTATCATTAGGACCTTTGTCCTCTGCCCGCTCACAGCTCGATCTCTTGGAGCAACTTACATCAACTAGCTCATCAGTCAGTGGTATGTAAACTACTGTCTCTGTTATGTGAATAATACGTATAGGCGAATACAGATTGATATCAGTCAGTGGTATGTAAACTACTGTCTCTTTTATGTGAATAATACGTATAGGCGAATACAGATTGATTGTCCTCTGGTTTTGTAATCTCACTTTATTCCTATCAACCATTCCTTTTCTGAATTGTTTTATCTTGTCATCTTAAATGAAATGTGCAAAATATACGTACATGTCTTAAGAAGGTAGTTATCGATATCAAGATTCAAAAGGAAAACTTGTCAAGAGACCAAGAGTTGCTAAAGATCAAATTTATGCCATTTATACCCTTAATGGCATGTATAGGAAAAACGTGCACACCACACCATAAACATTTTTCCCATCTTTTTATTATTTTTTATTAGCATCTGAGACGTCTTTGGGTTATGCCTGAAAGTAAAGCTACTCTTTCTCCATGAGTTCAAGATTTTACTCTCCATAGGAGCTGAACCCATATTGATTAAGGGGGATGCCATCTCCTCTTACTGCCTAAACTAACTCACTTGTGTCAATTGTGTTTCACATTTCAATCATGGAATATTTCTAAAATAGTATATGGGTAATGTAGTACAATTTTTGTAGTCTTGATGACTTGTTTAGTACCATAGTAGAGCATTCACTATGTAGAAAAGTTAAAAATTGAGCGACACCAAATAAACTTAATATGTTAAATCCAATGACTTGCGAGATAAAATCAAATTTCTTTACAAATCTGGTTTCTCTTCATTGTTTAATGTTTGGGTAAAAGAATGATATTGGAGCCATTTCTGATTTCCAGGTTATGAAAGTGATGGCGGCTCTGGCAAACTTACTATCCGTGAGCAGCTCGCACAGTTGGTAGGAGACAGAGATGATGATTTCAGTATTCCTTTGGGTAAAAACTTGAAGAAAGTGAGCGCCAGGTTCTTGACCATTTCACAAAAGAGAAATATCAGGAGACAAGCTTACCTAAATGAAGTTTCTCAAAGGAATGATTCGGTATTCTTTGCCACTATAGGAGCTTTTGTGATTCTTCCTCCTCTTATAATACTAGGAATTGCTGTGTTAACTGGTTATGTACAGCTTTTTCCATGATATGTGTTATATGATAGAACGGCCACATAATAGAATATCTAAGATAATGACTTGTTTTCCTCTCTAGTCTTGTATAGTGACTGTCGCTTCTCTTATCTTACTTAGCAAGCGGCAATAAGAAATAATACAACACTACTTCCCCCCCCCCCCAAAACATTCTTAAATAGACTTGGTCGGTTCAATATTAAATAAGTAGAGTAAGCCAGTTATAAATATACATTTAAGCGTGTCAGTGATGTAATGTAGGTGCAATTGCAGGCTTACGTGTCGGTTGATAATTCGCTTGGTCTGCTTAATCTTTTTGAATTTAACTTGAAGGTAACTTCTCCAAAGTGACATGAGAACAAGTGATTAGCCGTAATTCAAATGCAAAATGGACTTTCATTTGATTTCCAAGTGCCAGAAAAAGCAGAGTACTCAGACTAGAAGGTTGCATTACAGCCATAAAAACATGACATCCCAGTTTACCCTGAATCAAATGGTTAAAAAATCAGAATCAGTTACGTTTATGCATTCTTATTCAGTGTGTTGCAGGAAAAGAGTAATTGTGTATGGGACTCCCATCTATACACTTAATCATTCATTTATATTTGAATATGTTCTGTTCGACTCCAATTCTTTATAGTATGGCTGGTTCAGACTTCAGAGTAATACAAGTAATTCTTAGTTGCAGGGATAACCCATACTTCAGTTCTCATTCACAAATGCCTTTCAGATCCTTTGCTCTTTCAATGAAAATGATTCGTTCGATTCTATCTATAAATTATGGCAGAATCCATCAGCGAGATAAACACGTCACGTCAACAGCAAATCTTAAAAAAGCTGTGCAATTAACTTGATTTATCCTTTGAAGACCAAATGAAACCCCATTGAATAGCAACGGTATTTAACTTGCCTTTGGTTGTTCTACTGTACTTTTATTCCCTTCTATCTCTATGAAGGCTACAAGTGAGCCTCATACTTGATATTTTTTAAAATAAAAGTAAAACTAAAAGAAGTTCTTACCAATCTCTAAATAATTACTCTGCACATTTTATACTCCTTTTTCCTATAATAGAAGAAGCCAAAGTTACTAAACAAACTATGAAGTATCAAGACTGTGTGAAAAAGCTGTATTCATGTCCAGCACATGCCAAGTCACAAAATGTTGTGACTCTTCAACATACTTTATCTTCCTTAACAAGATTCAGGCTTCAATTCCTTCTTCTGTTGGTTTTCATCAGGACAAATCTCTGGAGCAGTAGAATTTTGCAATTCACTGTCCAAAACCTGTCCTTGGTTGTGTAAATAAACCCATTTGTCTTGAAAGAGGTACAAAACCACAATCAAACATATTTGGGCAGTGAAAAGTATCTTCCAAACTGTTACACTTTTTGATGTTTTTTCTTCATAGGCTTGTAGTCCTAAATATACACTCAATACACCCAGAAATGAAACTGCTGTTCCTGCTATCCAATGTGAAAGGTACCATGCACTTCTTCTTTTGGATCCCCTGTAACATGAACAGAAAGTCGGAACTCTCCAGAAACAATAAGGATGATTTGAAAAGAATAATGATATTACACACACACACATTTGGTATTAGCGGATAAGAAGAAAATTGAAGGACACACCTTTGAGGTCGAAAAATACCAAGAAGGAGCTGCAGCCAGATAATACCATATAATGCTACTCCTATTCTCTGATGAGTATTGTTGAATAAGTTGTTGAAATTTTTTATGGACATTATTGCTCCTGCTGTGGCAACAATAACTGCAACGTGCTGCTGAATATAAAAAGTCTAGATTTTTAACTAATTAAAACAAAATTTAATGTTTTTCATTTTGAACTAAGTAGAAAATGCAGAATGGATGTAATATTTTTTTTACTGTCACTTAAAAGATAACGATGATTTCACTTAAGAATTCAATAAACTATGGTTAAAAGTCTGAAGTACATAAATCGTATTTAGATGATCTAAAAGGAATGAACACAACATTTTACAACGTAATTTCTTAATAAGGTCTTCTCTCATCCGCAAAGCATTAATTATTGTCCGTCTTAACAAACTTCAAGTTAACAGTTAAGTAGGAAGTAGCAAACTTCAGGCCCATTAAGAAAATAAGAATAAAAAAGATGAAAACTGGAATCTTTGGCACTCTTGTCTTCCTTTCGCCCTCATTAAAAGTTAATCAGAGAAATTAAATCTATATCACAAACATGAAGCTATAGAACAATCTTTTAGTTTTCACTTGCACATAAGAGAGATTCAGATTATGTACTTGCCTGCAGAACTGCATGACCATAGAATATAATTTTTCGCCTTCTTTGATTCCTTTCTCTGGTTGCAAGTCTGATTGCAATTATACCAACAGGCATCAAGAACCCCATTGAAGCCCATAGCAGAAAACCATGTACTTTGATTTCATACAGCAACCTGGAACTCATCTTCACAAAAACAACAACCAACAAAAGTTAGATTCAAAGGAATATAAAGAATAACTTCAGAAATAATTTTTTTTTTAAAAAAAAAAGGTTAAACACAGATACTTCAACTATGGAGTCCTACAATGTTCTTATCAGGCACAAGACCGCATATTTTTCAGTTTTGTGATGGTCATACAAAGAACAGGAATGGAGTACCTTGAAGCTGTCGTCTTTGTTTCTTGAATAGCTTTTAGTTTGTTCATGTTCTTGAGATGAGGAAACAAAAGGCAAAATGAGAGAAGCAAGACTTGCATGAAAGAAGGAAATAAGAAGATATCTCTGAACCTCCATGCTTCCTTGTTCTATGGCCACTTGCAGACTCAATCTTCAATGAAGATGAAGCTTGAAGAAGGAAGCAAAAACTGTGGAATTTTCATAACTGAATGTGCTTCCCCATTTGCTGGCCCAGGTACTTATTGTCCCTTTCTCACTCAATGTGTGGGTGAGGATTCTAAGCACTTTATCTTTGTTGCTTACCTGATACAAAGATATACCATGAAATAATCATATTATCTTACAGTGCCAACTTCTTTACCATATTCAAGAGAATTACAGCTCTGAATTATATACCATCGACCTTTGGAAACTAAGGCGGATTCCCTATATCTATGCTTTTGAAAAGAGAATTATATAATAAAATGACTGTATGAGATTAAAATCTCATAATTATACTAATTCACCTTTTTCCCCTTTGCATCCCGTGAGCTTATGAGATTAGACAGAGATTAACCTTAAAAAGACAATTCACTCATACCGTAAAAGTAATGTTAGTGCACGAGATTTGAAAAAGGTAAAGTGGGTATAAGAGGAAGGTTGGGAAAGATTTCAAAGTAGTGGGGTTAACTACTTTTGCAGGTTTTTTTGAGATTGTGGAGGAAAATGTGGAGTTTCAGAGGGAAAAAAAGACAAGTGTGGCTATTCCATAAAATTTCGAAAAAGAGTGAAATTTTATGTTCAGATTGAAAAGAGAAAGTGGATCTATCATGTTCGTAGATTTTCCTGGAAAATCATTATCTTCTGATGCCCACTATTGAATACACACCACTATACTATAAAATGCTCCTTCCACCAACCAAATAATTCAACGTCTCTCTTCTTTTCATAAATTTTAATTTCTATGTTCGAAAGTTCAATAATTAAAACCAAGTTCTGTTAAAAACATGATTGCTTTTTGTTCCGATATAACATGGAGTTTCCCGTTTTGTTTGTTCCTACTTTCTGCTTTATGCCATAACCGTACGTTGAAATTTTGGTTTTAAACTGTACACTTAACTACACTTTGAAGGAAACTATATTATTGTCAATTCTCAGACACAAATGAATCATTAAAAAGATAAACATCAAGTCAATAATCCTGTCTAATACTCTTTTCTGTACATTCTGCGTCGTCCCATATATGTCTTCTCGTTATTTCTTAATTTTCATGTGATACATACTCATAATTTATTTCCTTAAGATCTCTTTGCATGTATCGTGTAAGTTTATATAATAATTTTGTAAATGTGAGAGATCTGAACTGATTTCTTCTTAGCATAGAGAGGACAAATTCAAAGAGAATTAAAAGAGAACAAAAGAGCGAACCTGCACAGGTGTCCCGCAAAAATCCCTTGAGAATAAACCGACATATTATTCTGTGTGCTTTCATGTTGGTGTTCATGTATTTCTGCATTTTACAATTTAGATCTAATAATTTTTATTTATATATCATTTATTTTTAAACTAAATGTTGAAAATTAAAGTTATTTAATGTGACCAGAATATTTTGGTCACGCACACTGATGATTAAGTTGGACTAAACTAGCTGGTTAGATTGAAAAAATAGTAACTGATCACTTGTCCAATCCGAACAAAGAGGTAAATTGTCTCAAAAGAGAATTGATTATAAGAATTGGTGGAACGAGTCAAAATTAATGGTGCATAAATACTTGACTAATACTGAATTATTTTTTAGCTTTGAATTACTGTTTTGACTTTTAATATAAGTCACTTGTAACATAGTTTCACGTGTTAAGAAATTCATTAAATTGATATAAAAAGAATTTAGTTTTACCAGACTTCTCTCTCCCAAAGGGAAAATAATGTAAAATAACTGGATTGATATGTCTAAAACTCTTAACCAAGACTGATTGAAAAACTGGTTCGTTGATCTGAATTGCCAGCTTACATTGATAGGAGGGAGAACATTAAGAAATAGTAGAATGTGTGTGTGTGGGGAATGTACGTAGGAGAACCATGAAAGAAAAAGCAAAGTTGGGGGACCAATTGAGAGGGAATAGCCAATTCAACTTTGAATTTGAGGAAAGCACTTTGTTTGTTTCCGAATCAGAACATGTGTTACCCACTAAAGCTATCTTCTACTTATCTGTCCCTTTGAGTGAGAATGACACTCAATTCTCTTTTCCACGTAATTCCCTTTCCCACATTCATTGCCATTCCACTACCCCCGTTGCTATCATATTACTATCACGTAACTTTTTTTATATATGTTGGAAATATAAATATGAATAAGGAAGTACGTACCGGGCTAGATCAATGCAGAAATTAAGAACATCGCATAAGAGAAAATATGAGAGAGAAGAGGTAGTCGGAAAACTCAATGAATATGGAGCGAGTTGAACTAATAGATGATGACCTCTGTTGACATTATTGGGCGGGAACATTTTGGGAAGATAAAATATCCACAATATCTATCTGTTTGGATATATTTTTAATATCCTTTTATATCAATCGGTAAGATAATAATTTGAATTTAAAAATAATTTAAATCTTTATCATATATTCTCAATTTCAGCTCATTTTGAATTGAATTCTTGATTTAATCTATAGATATTATAATCATACATATATGTTCATTTAATATATATATTATCTGGATAATATAATTTAGATAACTTATTTAATTTATATTATATTTAATCGAGTGATCTTCTTGATTAACTGATCCAATCAATCAAAATATAATCGTAGTTGATTATTTTATTTCATTAGGATGTTCTTAAATTTTTCAATCAAATAGTCCAACCCAGAAAGGACGGACCTGAACCCCCACAATATACGTTATTTATCTTTTACCTAATAAGTTTTGGTAATCGCCATAATTGCTTCCTTAACGATAACGTTGTGAAAGCAAACCAAATCTATTCGATTCATGGTTGACATTAAGCAACCTCAATATCAATATAAAATTTCTATTGATATTAGATTCAAGTTCCTGTGAATATAAACAAGCTAGAAAAATTACTTTCAATTGAATATGACAATAGTTAAATCTAACATAACAAATTAATAATACTTCTCTAGTCCTAAATATAAGACCCTTATATACAGTATATGTAAGGGTCTTATATTTAGGACTGAAAGAGTATTTTATACTCCTCCGGTCCTTAATATAAGACCCATTTAACTAATTCAATTAGATTAAGAAAATTAGGTAAGTTAGTTAATTATAAGAAATGTGACACATTTTTCCTAAAACACTATAATCATCTTTCTTAATACTTCATCTTTCTCTTCTACTTGATTATAGTTGAAAGAGTATCTATAAGGGTAATATAGAGAAAGCTGATAATATGATAAATGGGTCTTATATTTAAGATTAAAATCAACTCAACAATTGGGTCTTATATTAAGGACCGGAAGAGTATTAAGGTATTATGAATAAGTTATATATGGTGGCTCACATCTAGTTAAGACTTGATCCTCTAATACGTGTTAAGGGATTCCACACATCTAGTTGTGAGATAAAAGAAAGGAAAATAAAATAAAAATATTCTTTCCTATTAAAATTATTTCTGCCTCTTCTACTTCAAATTTGGCCAGTAGAATGAGGCATAAATCATGTTTAAAATTCAAGCATTTTCTTAATGTGAAACCGGTAAAAAAAAAACTCTTAAATCCAGTTGTTTTTTTTTCCTTAATTAATTCTTTGAACATATTAAACAAACAAACCATATTAATTTCAAGCAGAAGTAGAAGTCAGAATTAATTTTCAACACAAGAGGATCCAAATTCTACATTGCACTCAATTTTGTTAGCAGACTTCAGCTTTTAGATTGATTGATGGACCCGTGATTGCACATTATTAATTAATTTAATTAGTTTGTGTGTAAGTCAAAAAAGCTAAATTAAACAAAAAGTAGAACATTTTTGTCAAGAACACAAATCATAGCTAAAGACAACCCACCCACATGAGCCTGTCATAATTTCTCAAAAGGTGGTTGAGACGTCAAAGGTTTTATTATAATCAAATAAATTGCACAATCATATTTCCCCTTCACAGACATTTCATCCACCGTTCCTGTTCAATTTTTTCCCTAACAAAGAAACTTATATCTTTGCGTATTTAAAAATGCATACATTATATATAAAAACTCCAAATTATATGCCATATGTAAATAATTTTTTTAACTTTTAAAATTTTCTAATAAATTTCCCTGAACTTTTACATTTATCCAAATAATTACGAATGATCAATTTATATTCCTTAAACTTTATTTTGTACCCCCTCAAATTTTAAATTATAGACAGATAAAGCAATTAAAGTTGTTTATGGATAAATAATGAATATAACTAATAATATGAGAATTGTCTGCATAGATGTTAAAGTTTAAAGAGGTTTTTGTAAAGTTTCAAAAGTTGGAGAGATTAATTATTTACACATGACATAATATTAAGGGAGTTTTGTACTACAATTTAACCTTAAAAATGTTGGTTTAAAATATAAAGATGAGAATTGAATTAATTGTGAGAAACGAGGTTGCTTTTTCACTTCATTGATATTCGTTCATTAACAAGGATCTAGTTATGATTCTTTATTTCCGGGACAAAGTAGCATAGAGCTATTCATTCATTCATTTATTTATTTAGATCTCATCATAGTTTTTGTGTGTGTAGAATTTAATATTTTATATTACATGAGATATAGGATAAAAATGATCGTTTAATCATGCATCCAAATATAATGATTGAAAACAAAAACTGTGTGTGTGTAAATTAGATTATCCTGACCTACTAATAAACGATGGAAAAATTATCATTGATCTTTGTTCCTTTTTTACTTAAAGCAAAGATGGTATCGATAAAAAATATATATGAGAGGTTACCTGATGACGTAATGCCATGTAATCTTTTATCATTAACTATATTTTTATTTTATTTTATTTACTTGTGATAATTGATACCAAATTTAAGTAAATTATGAGGAATCTTTACCAACATGCTACTCCAATTCTTAATATAGAATTTAATTTAAGAGTTGATGTTGATCTTACATGTAAGATTCATTTCACACATTTATCAATTTTTTTCAAATTAACCATAATGATATTTCTTCAACGATAATCAAATAAAATAGGAAGGGAAGAAATTAAGAAAGATAATTAAGGAATTTTAGAAAAAAATAATATTAATTAATTTAACTAATATTTTTAATTTACTCGAATTAACTAATTAGATCTTATATTAAAAACATGAGGAGTAATTTATTTTTTATTCGTAAAATTGTTATCTTATTAAACGCACCAGTCCCTTCCATTTAACTTAACATAAATTTTATGATAAGTTCAGCATCACCAATATCAATACATTAATATATAATATCTATAAAAAAAAATTAACATGAATTAGCCGTCTAGTTTTTAAATCTAAATTGTAATTTAAGTAAGAAAATACTCATTCTTCAAATATTTTGAGGTAACAAAACATTAAAAAAAAAAAAAAGATTAAGTAGCCAAAATTTCTGAACAGTTCCAACAAATTGATGTGCCCACATGAAGGAACATCATAAGATCAAATTGACAGAACCTTGCAACAAACCTCATATTTCAAAAACTTGACTATATATGGATGTCTTTATGTCTCATTATAGCTTTTTACATAACAAAACACTAAAATCAGGACAGAAATAAGAAACTTCCCAGAAATTGAAGTCACAGTACTAATCATTTGTGGCAAGAAAATTAGCATTTTGACATATACAACCCATCTTATTTCTTACTCAACCTTCAATTATGTTCCTTTCGGTTTCTTCTTATCCCTTTTCTATTATTTTGTTTGGTTCATAGGGTTTTGTTTTTTTGTTATGAGCCAATTGTGGCCATCACCCTATTTGATAACTGGTGTCTAAAAGATAATTTTTTTTCCTTTTTCAGTTATTGAAAGATAACATTAAGAAATGTTATTTTTTTGTTGTCACTCAAAGTATTATTAAGTTATTTTAAATTTAAAACTAATTTTAGTCAAGCTAAGAATATTAAGGTTAAAGTCTTCCCAACAAGTGTATTTCTCGGAATTCGAACTTGTGTTCTTCTCCTTATGAGGGTGAGACCGTTTACCATCTTAATAAACAACTTGTTGGTAACATTAAGAAATACTTTAGTTCTAAATGTAGAGGTTAATTAATTGTAAAAAATTTAATATAGTTAATTAATTGTAAAAATTGTGTATTGATATTATTAAAATAATTTTTTAACTTTTAAATTATTCTCTTATTAAGGGAAAAAAGCCATTAAAATGTGAGTTTATTAAAAAAAAATTGAGTTAAAGTGCAAATTAGAAGATACATAGTAAATGTTGTAAAAATAAAGAAGACTTAGGAGAGATGTGGCATATTAAGAACATAAAGAAATTTTGTTTTTTAAGAAAAAGATTCAACAGACTATATTGAGACCCTATTTTTGCATTAGTGAGTAGGTCAAGCAAAATTGGGCTTAAGGTAATAAATGTAATATTGGGCTTTAAAGGGGTTTTGAAGCCCAACAATAGAAAGGCTTTAAGGCCCAGAGAACATGTTGTGGCCTTGTGTGACCAGTTCCCTCTTGAAACTAAGGTATCTGTTTTCGTCCTCCAAAAACAGAAGGCGGTAGTTTAAAGCTATGATTTACAGTTTTTTTTTTTAAAAAACGTGTTGGCAATGCACAAAGTGTTAGATAAATTTTTTAAATTTAACAATTACGTGAATGAGCATCAATCAATTAATTAATGAGAACGTTTAATATACTTTTAAGCAATAATCCCTTTTTTCAACAGATCAATTAATACTTAAAATTAACAGCTAATTTAGACTCTTTTTTTTTTTTGCCAAACTAATTTAGACTTGAATAACCCTAGTTAGTAATTACATTTTATTCTATAAACATAATGAAAGTTGATAATTTCTTACTTTTTATCATTAATTTGATACCTGGTAAGTATCATACGAATTGTTTTTGTCATGAGGCGAAAATAAAGCTTAATAATTATACGTATAATTAAATAATTTAATTGACAACATGTTTGGAAGATATGTTCAAATTTATAAATCGATGAAATTCTTTCCAGCTCATATTCATAATCAAGAAACAACATTTTATTTTTTTAAAAAAAACTATTTCAAAAGAAGGGGGCTTGTGGTGTTTGACCAACAATTAAAAGAAATTTAAAAAAAAACAAGAAGAAGAGAAAAGGCATATGGTGGGATTGAAGGAAAATATTTTTCTGATAAAGACAACCAATGAAGTCATATTCTCACACAGAAAGCACACATAAGAATGATGATAATATTAACTAATAAAAAAGGTACATTAATTAATAAAATACAAAATGAAACTATAAAACAGAAGGAGGAGCTGTGGTCATTTATTATGGTTTGGTATATATCCCCACCAAAGGCCACCTCATATCCGCAGCCAGACAACTTGACCTCCCTCTTTAAATGATTTTATATACATTTCATATATACACACACTTTACCTCCGGTTTAAATGATATCTTATAATTAGAACCAGAGGTAGTATATATATAATTAGAGTGACTAGCATAATTAGGCCACTTTCTAAAAGGATCCTTAATTATCTATTTCTAATCTTAATTATGGCTAACGTGCGTTGCCAAAAAATTATGAACTGACAGAGCAATAGCAATTTGATTTGACTTCATAAAATTTGGGTTAAAAAAATCATGTTATATAAAAAAAAAAAAAAGGGAAATTCATGTTTTAGTCTCTTTAATTTGCAATTATTTTCAAATAAATCCTTAAATAATATTCCCAATTGTAAGTTGGTCGCTTTGGAAATGTTTGTAAATTAGCTAGTCCTTCAGCCCGTCCATAATACTGTGGGGAATTCATAATACTTTGGGGAGAAATTTGGGAGAAAAATATAAATTATATTGACCAAATTGAAAAAAGAGGTAAATTTTAGCGATTGAAAAAAATTAATTTTTCCCAAAATTATGTATGTCTATCATTTTTAATCTCAAAGAAAATAGACACTTCAGTAACTTTAAATTAATTAGACAATTATTTAAATGTCAAATACTACCCTATCTTTAATATAAAAACTCGTTTGACTTTTATTTTGGTCTAAATATAAAACCCAAATCTATTTTCTCTCTTATATTTATTTATTTTTTTAAGATAGTCCTGTAATATTGGTAGTTATAGTCAAAACACTTGATTAGTAAGGATACTTTAAGAAAGACAACACATATTTATTATAAATAACTAATCTAACTAATTTTTTTAATTTATTTAAATTAGCTACCTAGTTTTTATATTAGAAGAAGAGGTAGTATAATATTTTTCCACCTGAACATTTACAGCTCTGATCTCACCAAAGTCAAAACAAGAAGATTCAATATCCAATTTAAATATTATATCTTATTTGTTATTATTTCCGTCTGCTTTCAGATCACCAAACTAAATCGATTGCGATGAAAAATACATTATACAGATTACATTATTACAGAGAGACACGCCTAACAATAAAGTTGACCCGTTCCTTCTGGTTCCCAATTGGAGGCTTTCTTTGAAAAATTGTGACACGCCTACCACATGCCACGTGGGTTTTCTAAAATATATTTGACCGGACACATATGATTTTTTTTTTTTTTTGACCTTGACTGGACACATATGAATCAACCATGGCCATTTGAATATTTGTATTTTCTACAAGGTTGTGACTTTTAAAGATTTATTCTTTTGTAAATATTATTTCTAGACTCTGGAGAAAGAGGAGTGAAAAGATTGAGCGAAGATAAAAAGTTGGAAACTTTGCATTACTTTCTCATTGAACTATACAAAAATTTTACAATCAATCAAGAAAATCCTTACATCTTCTATATAATCTGTAAGTATACCAACTTAAACAAAATCAATTGTTTTAACCCCAAAAAAAAAAAAAAAAAGAATCTACCCTTTGAATTGCTGTGTTTACAGCTTTATTCTTCTATAAATCAGCACAGTTCATTGGTGCATACCCAAGCCTGGATTTCTTGGTATCATACAGTATGTGAAAATTCTGCTGCTGATAATTCCCAATTATGGAAAGCCCATTCCTGGGAGTCCCCAAAATAGCCAAACACACAACACTTTCTGGTTCAATCTGTATGAAGTAATTCTCCACTGGGAAATTCCACACAGCCCCATCAGCAAACAAGATTCCAAAATCAGGAATCTCCAGTTTCTCCAACCCAGATACATTATAGCATGGCCCTAAAGGAGGGAATCCTTCAACCTTAGGGTACCCCTTAATCTTCTTCTCAAAAGCCTCCTTTACAATCTGATATGCAGGCTCTGCAAAATAACTCAGTGTTGTTCCAGAATCAATGATTGTCCCCCCAGAACCTTCTGGAGATAAAGCCCATGTCTCTTCTGGTATCTCCTTCAGAATCTCACCACCAACCATCAATGATTTTATCTGTACATAGTAAAATGTATCAACTGGGTTCTCTTTGCCGCCCACAAAAGATGTGAAATTCAAACCTGGGTGTCCCAGAAGATCCTTATCCTCCCCAAAAATCAACTTGCTTGTGACATTTGTGTCGCTGTTTCTGTCCACAAGACAGTATGAAAATGAATGGCCATAAAGTGATTGAAGCTGAGAAGCAAAAGACAATGGCCCTCTTCCCAGTCCTAATAACCCGGCAGCACCATGAAACAGTCCTCTATTCCAATGGCCACAACCAAACATCACATCCTCCACAAGCTTCAGTTCTGATTTGCCATTAGGACTTGTGAGATTCACAGTGAAAGTCTCTGATCCAAAATCACCAGTTGTGTTTGAACTATCTCCATACCAGTAAAAATAAGGACATGTCTGGTTTTTCTCTTTACAAGGCTGAGGAGGATCTGGGGATGATACTAGTTCACACCTAGGGTCATGACAGTTTATGTTCTTGAAAGAAGCTGAATCTTTAGGGTCATAGTGAGGCCCATTTTGATCAAAACATGCATAGCAAGGTACACACTGGATCCAATTAAGGTCACTGCCAGTGTCAAGTATGAGAGAAAAGTGTTTAGGAGGTGTACCAATAAAAACATCAATGAAGTATTCTCCAGAGCCGAATGTTACTCCTGATCCCAATGTTGCCACCATCTGGTTGGAATACCCACTTGAAATATACTCCGGTGGTGAAGCTGCCGCCATCTCCACCGGGTTTTGGGGTTGTTGTGGTTGGTTCTGGGATTTCTGCAGCCGTGAGAGGCTGTTCTGGTTCTTCTTCTCCGTGACTCTTTTGTGAACTGTCTGGATTCTGATCAAGTCCCTCGCTGTAGAATCAACTAGAGACTTTTTGGGCTCTGCGTGTTTGCTTCTAGATTGGTGCCTCAAATGGAGTTTCACTGATTCCATGTTTGGATTCAGTGAATGAAAAACCTTCCCATCATCTTCTTCGTCGTCTTCTGAATGACCAAAATTTTCCTGGTTGGAGAAGGCACACCCAGAATTTGAAGACGAAATGGTTTCAAAGCTTGGGTGGTCAGGTAATTTAATGGCGGCTAGAGAAGAGCCATTCTTATCAAGATTTCCAGAAACGACTTCCACAGAAAATAAATTTAATATAAGGATAATAAGAATGAAACAGCCCTTGAGAACCATTGTAATGATGATCTGCCCCTGTTTGGGGCCAGGGAAAATCGTCCCAAAAGCGCTAAAAAGGAAAAATCCCAGAAAGAAGAAGGTTCTAGTAAAAATCTATGAGAAAGAAGAAGAAAATTGATGACTTGCTCTCAAATGAAAGTTACAGCTGCAGAAAGTCGAGAGAGGAGTTGTTCAGAAAACCAGAAAGCAAATGAGCCAGAATCAAAATCTGGGGAAAATAATGAGGAGAAGAAGAAATTTTGAGGAGGGAAATGTTTGTGGTTGCAAAATGACAAGTATTTAAGCTGCGAAAATGAGAGAGAGAAGGAGGGAAGGAAGGGGCAAGGAAAGATCAACTTCAGAGGTTGAGGCGTATGAAAAGGGGAAGAAGAACAAGAAGAAGAAATAAGAACTTTTTTAAGAGAAGAAGTCCAAGTTGAATGAAACCATTATATATGAAATTCAAAGTCACAGTGTCAAAGACACAGCCCAGAAACGCGGTTTAACGATAATAAATAAATACAGTTTTATAATAAATACGAAAATCATAATCGTACTTGGCTCCCTTCTTCATCTTGCTCTCTCCAGTTCATCCATTTTCATACCGGCTTTAAGAAAAAGGCAAAAGTTCACGAAAATGGAGGCTTTTTGAATTATTTATTCTTTATATTTTAAAAGTAATCCTCATTTTAATAACTTATATTTTAATATGATATATATTAAGAGGGTTTAAATTCTTAAGCTATATTCATATCTCATTTCACCTAGCTTCAGGTGCCTAAGCCTCATACTTTAACTCTTCGTCTTAAGAAATACTACCTCTAGTTTTAATTATAAGAACTAGTTAACTAATTTAATGAGATTAAAAAAAATTAAGTTAATTATTTGTAATAAATAGGTGTTATCTTTTCTAAAATATCCTTGCTAATCAAGTGTATTGACTAGAACTACCATTGTTAAAAGGATTATCTTGAAAAAAAATGCATAAATATTAAAGACAAAGTGAATTGGGATTTTATATTTAGGATCAAAATAAAAATTAAACAAATTATTATATTAAGGATCAGAGGTAATATATGGTGTTTTAAGAAATTTGTAGTTCTACAAAAAAAACAAAAAAGGAAGATATGATTTTAAAAACATATAAAAAAATTACATGAATCAAATTAATACAGCCCATGGCCACGGTATTATCACAATGCCACCAACTAAACGAAAGCCCTTTTGGCCAAAAAAAAAAAAAGGGAAAAAAAACACTAATTGAAAGTCCCACATTTACTACACCCAATGTTAAAAAATAATTGTCCCATTCAAGTTTCTAAACAATTTATCTTTCAATAAACATTTCAAAAAAATAACTATGTACTACGCTATAATAAATAAAAAACAAAATAATACATTCATTTTAAAAATTTAATAAAATGACTTATAAATAAGATTAAGAAAAACTTTCTCTTTCTATCTTATAAATAGGAATAGAGGAATACATTAATAATTGATATTAATATGTAAAAGTCTTTTTTTTCAAAAAAAAGTTTTATAAATAGCAGAATATGTGAAGAGTAAAACAAAAAAATTGACTTGGATTCACTAGGTGCTTGATTTGGACCAAAAACTCATTTTCATAATTGAGGCGGGTTGGACAAAAGTTGAGCCACCGATAAACCAAAATCTGGAATCGTATCAAGAAGTGGAACAATTTTCAAAAACCTTGATGAGTTTTAGGCCTGATGACGAAATGCTGGACAAAAAAATACTCATCCAATTTTTAATATAAAATCTATTTAACTAGTTTGATTAGATTAAGAAGGTTAGGTAAATTAGTTAATTATAAGAAACGTGACATGTTTTTCCTAAAACATCATAATCATCTTTCTTAATACCCAGTCTCCCTCTTCTACTTAATTATGGTTGAAAGAGTATCCATATGGGTAATTTAGAAAAAATTGATAAATATAACAAATAGGTCTTATATTTAGGATTAAAACCAGCTCAACAATTAGGTCCTATATTAAGGACCGGAGGAGTATAAAAATCTTACCAAAAAAATAACTAGAATTGACCATTTTAAAAAAATTAATATATTTTCAAATTATTTGTAGCCATATTGTAGTGAAAACTTCATATATTGTGATATTATTATATTATATTTTTTTAGAAAATTTTATTATGAGGTCACACCAATTCAAAAAATCAATAGATTTATTTCTTATATTATCATATATGTTGAATTGTTGATCCGTATAAAATCATTTTTCATCAAATTTTCATTTAACTATTAAGTCACACCAGCTAAGTCTAAGTATGGCGATTCAATAAATTGGCTGACTTTCAAGATCTTGTCTGATTTCTAAAACATTATTATAAAATATTATTTCTGATGCTAAATATAAGACTCTTATGTTTAGGACAGAAAAAAATATAAATATAAATAAATGAAATTTTAGATTTCATTAAAATTATTTACAAATTATTCAACAATGAGACTTTTGTATTGATAACAAAAGTTAAACTCATCTTGATGTGAAACATCAAATCCTTGTGAATTAGATTGATGTCCTTGTTGACCGATTCTCTATGAAATATGACATGAAAAACTTGAAAATAAGAGGGTTAATATAATTTTTTGTGTCTTAAATTTATTTTTATTTTAATTTTGATCTGTTAAATTTTAAATCATGTGTTTTGATTCCTCAAAAGATAAAATCATCCAAGTGTTGATTGGTACTCCCCCCATCTCAGATTATAAGTAACATTAGAGCTCATCATGTATATCAAAATATTAATTAAAATTAATTAAAGATAATAAATATATAAAAATTAAAAGTTCTTTCACAATAATGCAAGAGTATAAAATTATTACAATAAAAAGAATTATAGAAGAGAGAGAATATATGATAGAGAGATGATAGTTTAGAAAATGAGATAATAAATATATTGAGTATTAAAATAAATAATTAATAAGGATAAAATAAAGAATTCACTAGAAAAATTTAAGACAACTTATAGATGTTGTTTATATTTAGGAATAAAAAAAATGATAGTTATTGTTTATAAAATGGGATGGAAAGAGTATTGATTAAGTTCCAAAACAAATATTTTAAATAAAAAAATTTTAAAGAAATAAAAAAATAAAAATAAAAATAAATGTGAACAACCAACAACGAAAACGTATAATAACAAGTCAAAAAGGCGGGGTTCTCATGCAACTAGCTGGGTACGGTCAGCGTCGAGTAGATGTGGTGGGGCCCTAGTCAAACTTCATGTGTTTGACTTTCTATTCATCGAAAACACCCGTCCCCACTAAAATCGAAAATCACCTTTTATATTTATTACTCCTCCGATTCTTAATATAAGATTTATTTAATTAATTTGATTAGATTAAAAAATTAGATAAGTTAGTTAATTATGAGAAATATGACATGTTTTTTCTAAAATATCATAATTATCTTCTTTAATATCCTTCCTCTCTTATTTACTTAACCATGATTGAGGAAGTATCTATAGAGACAATTTAGAAAAAATTAATAAATATGAGAAATATGTCTTATATTTAAAATCAAAATAAACTTAATAATTAGGTTTTTTATTAAGGATTGGAGGAGTATCTTTATATTATTGTTGTTGTTCATTTATCTTTATTCTCAAATTTTTAACCCACTTCCCCAATCTTATTAATTTGTTTAAAGTTCGAATTTTTCAAGGTTCAAGCAACGCCAAAAAAATCAACTTGATGAACTTAAAAAAACTATGATCAGAAAACTATCACTCTGTTCTTATTTACATGATAATTTTACCTACTTTACACAAATAAAAAATAATTATATTTAACCAATCCTAAATTACGAAGAATGACAAATAAAAATCTTAAAAATTACTAAGTCCTAAATTAGGATTGGTTATCACACTTTAATAGGTTTTGATAGTACTTTATTTGTAAAGAACAACATGTTTTTGTAAAAATTTTGGGATTTTATAAATTTCATGGTCTCTTTTGTCATCCCCACATATATGTTAATTACTGTTCAAAGGTTGTAAATTATCATATGAATAAGAATATCCAACTCTAATTTATTTTGCCTTATAAAATTATGTTATACTACCTCTGATCCTTAATATAAAATCTCATTTGATTTTTATTTTAGTTCTAATTATAAGACCATAATTCATTTTGTTTCTTATATTTATGTATTTTTTTCTTAAGGTAGTCCTTCTAATAATAGTAATTCTACTCAATATACTTGATTAACAATGATATTTTAGGAAAAATAACACCTATTCATTACAAATAACTAATTTAATTTATTTTTTAATCTCTTTAAATCAGTTAACTAACTCTTATAATTAGGATAAGAGGTAATTTGTAAAACCAAAGAACTACGCTGGCGGCAATCACTTTCGTCCCTACCACAGCTTTGTGACACGTTAATCGTGCGCTTATGACTTCTATGCTTGAAACTCAACCTCAAAAATAAGCATATCTATATTATTATTATTATTATTATTATTATTATTATTATATAAAGAAAAAGTTTTCTGATGTGACTGCAAATATTATTGACCAGGACTTCAAAATATTAGAGTCATAATTTAAATTGATGAAAACGAATCGCATTTTATGACTTCTCATTAATTAATACTATCATACTACATTCAGTCCTTAATATAAGATCTTATTTTACTTTTATTTAGATTCTAAATATAAGATCCCAATCTATTTCGTCACTTATATTTATGTATTTTTTTCTAAGATAATCTTCATAACAATAGTAGTTATAGCCAATATATTTAATTAGCAAGGATATTTTAGAAAAAACAACATATATTTATTACAAATAATTAACTTAACTTCTTTTCTTAATCTTTTCAAATTAGTCAACTAGCTCTTATAATTAGGACCGGAGGTAGTATTTTACTTTAACTCTCATATGTTAATTGTTAAATTAAATTGAATGCATACTTAATAGGAAAAATTTGAGAATGAAAAAATTGAGAATATAATTGGATATCAATTTTTCCCTCCTTGCTTGGAAGATTAATACAATTGAAAAGTGAAGTTCTAAAATTGGACTTAAAATTCTTAACACATTTCACTGACTAAGAAAATTAGCCTCATTCAAACTCTAAAGATAATCCTAGTGGTCACTCATGTTGACTTGTTCACCATCATTTGTTATTAATTAATATCGATATAAAATATAAAAATTTATAATAAATCATACTTTTTAATAAGTTATGAAAAATATATTTCATTTTCTTCAGATCTCACACAGTGCATGGCAGTGCATCCAGCATAAAGATTATGTTCTTTGTGAATTTTGTTAAATTTAAACAAATGCACACATTATATATATTTTTGCCATAACTTTATCTTTAAAAATGTATTTATTAATCTAAATACTTATTTTTAAACTATAAAATTTAATAAAAATTTTATGTCATTTAAACTATAGTACATAATAATTATTAGTTAGGTATAGTTTATTTAGTTATACTCACATATCTTCTCAAATTTACCAATAAAAACTCATACGTCGTTTACTTTATTTTTTATCAAACAAATCCACTCTGGCCTCCTTATTTGAATTCTATTTCCTTTACTTCGAGTCCCTTTGAATTAGATTATTCTAACGTTTTTGGAATAAAAAGAAGCACTCATGATACAAGCTTAATGTTTCAGAGGTTTCTAATTAATTATACAACTTCAAAATACGTGAATAAAAAACATGGACGGCAGCATTAATGTCAAAGCAAATGATTATATTCGTTTTCCAACAGTTAATCAAGGGGCAACTTTAGAATTGCAACACATATTTATTAAATTTTATTTTCCTATGACAAAAACTATTGAATTCAGAACATTAAAGGAAAAAAAAATAAGTAAAACTTTAAATGACATTATTTCTGACTTATATAAACAGTATGATTTATTGTAAAATTTATTTCATATTAATGCTAATAACTAAATTGATTGATTGATTTTGATTATTTGATGAGATTGTAAATGCAAGTCTTTCTTCAAAGTTCAAACCTCTCCTTATTACAATTCAATTGGAGAGGTTTTTTTTTTCCCAGATTACTATTCATTACCGTTTGATTCAATCCAATTCCTAGTATGAAATTTTCTATGACATGGGGGGGGGGGGGACCTCTTCTAATAGGAAAGGTAAGTGCATATTTGAATGAGAGAATATGATACGCAATTACTATTAGCACTTTCAATCAAACACGCACAAGGTTGCCAAATGCAAATAGGACTTCTCTTAGTACACAATAAGGTTTCAGCCTAAGACCTTTCTGGTAAACTTTCTGTGCTCCTCACAGGTCACACCACTAGACCTCCCAGACACTTCTATGATTCACACTGCAACAAATGATTTATCCATTTCATGGATTGATAAATATATAAACAAAAGTTACAGTTTAGTAAGATTGCTTCCAAGCCAACCTCCTAAAACAACCTTGGAGTAGTGGCGTTTTAAAGAACATGCTAAACAAGAGGATCATCATCTTCATCCTGAGGGTTGTTGAGGGCCAAAATATGCTTCTGGAATGAAACTGCAGCTTCTTCCCTTTTTTCTAACTGTCCCAGCTTGTCATATACCATGGCCATCAAATAGAAAGCTTCAGCCGCCATTTCATGATACTGTAGACCACACAAGATGTTGTTGCTGTTATTATTGTTATTGTTGTTAACTGTTAATTCAAGAACAGTGAGATCATCTTTCTTTCTATAAGGGCTGTGCATAGGCCCTAGATGCCTTGTAAAACAGGCCCAACTTGACTGGATCAGGTTGGGTCTTGTTGGGCCAAGGGAAAGAAGTGTCAAAAATTGGATTTATGCAAGGTAGGTATACTGCCTATCATTGCATGCGAGAGTCAACTTTGACGACAGAATACTGTCTGTTGACTGACTTGGAAAAATTTACACAATTATAGAAGTTAGCTTACCTCCAAAAGTTCGAGCTCTTCTGATGCTTGTCTCAGAGAATCAATCAAAAATTCATAATTTTCAGAGACTGCAAAGGATAAAGCAGTAAATGAGATTTGGTGATTTACATAAAGCTCCAGTAGGATGAGGTGAGGTCTTACTCCTTCATACAGCTTCTCGGAAAAGGAAGGGGGTGGATGGAGAAAAACCAAACAGGAAAAATAATTCATGGTCACATTACGACGTTGTATGATTCATGTAACTGATCCCACTTAATAAGATAAGACTTGTTGTTGTCGCATTATGCCAACATGATACTTTTTCAGCCCAAAAAAAAAAAAGAAAACAGAGAGGGAGATCCAAACCCAAGGTAATGCCCAAGCATCCAGTGACCAAGAGTCACAAGGATTGAACCTCGACGTTTATTGAAACTGATCCACATCATTTTCACCAAAACTATTTAACAAACCACCTCATATTGTTTTCCTCCACCGCCCATTTTTCAATTAGGATGAGCTCACTTGTAGAATTCCAAAAACAACACAGATGTTGATGTTAAAGAGGTAATTTGCAAGACACAAGTAAACATAGGCGTAAAGTAGCAGACAGCACATGTGAAAAGATAATTCCAGAATACAGAGTTCATATTTTTAACATACCAATGAAGTTTGGATCAGAGAGATAGCATTTTGCTTCAACAATATAGGCCCGAGAGCGGAGCTCCAAACCACCATGACCCAGAATCATGGGGAAGGCCCCATGGATAAGGTTCAGAGCCCTTGTTGCATGGCTTGATCCCAATGAGAGCCACAACTCAGCAAGAGTAAGAGTAGCAGAGGCCTTGAGAAGATCCAAATTAAATGACTGGCAAAATGAGAGGCTTGCTAATGCATATGGAAGGCCTAGAACTGCATTCCCTGATTTCTGACAAGATAAATAAATGATGGTTTACTTAGAATAAATTAAATGAAAGTTTACAGATGCAAACAGTCACTGATGACAGACGACTTCACTTTTCTACATATGCAGAAATGTATAGATGAAGTGAAGCAGGGATTGTCATCATCACAAGTTAAAACTCATCGGCAACTTGCAAGTAAATAACACAAAAAATAGCTTGATCCAGTGTCTGAACTTAGATGACCTGCTAAGCATGTCAATGTGTGGTACCTTATGAATTTCAGCAAGCAACAGGAGAACAGAAGCATTCGCAACTTGCAGATTGTATTTGTAGCACATGCAAAAGAGGGAGTGTGCTACAGTGGCCGCCTGTAAATTGGAAAAATACACCCACACGTGAAGATAAGATATAATCAAGTGGTTATGTACAAATTAAGGGTAAACAGCTGGTTATGCTATATAAAGGTCATGAAAGGACATACAAGCATGAAAAGTCCCATTTGCGATTTGCTAGGATTCAATGAGAGAGATTTTGATGCTTTAACTTTCCATAATTCCCATGAAGGAGTAACAATTAAATATGAACTATAGATGAGCGAATCAAAGCTCTGACTAACAAATCAGCATTTGTCTTGGGAAAAAAGGGATAATTATTAGCATGTAGAGAAAAATAAACCTCTCTAAATTGACTTGCTGCAAGCAATGTGCGAGCATGGCGTAGGCCAGCTTCTGTCTTCAGCTCCATGTCTACTCCAGTTACTGGTGATGCCAGAACTCCAAGTTCATCACATACTTGTTGAGCTAGCTTTAACTGCCCTCTACATGATGCTCAATAAGTCATTATTCTGATGACATGACAGCCGCCAACAGAAATCAAAATACTGAAAGCAAATCTCACTGGCCACTTACCGATGTAAAGCACGGTCATGAAGTAACTGCAACTTGAACAGTGAGATTTGTGATTTTGAGACAGACAGAAACTTCTCTTCTGCCATTTTAAGGGCAGAAAAGGCCTCTAGAAACAAAGAAGGGGGAAAATTAACAAGGATAAAATGGAAGATACTTATGGTTGGAGGGAGGGGACTCCTCTTTTTGTTTATACATTTATGCAGGAGAGACAGAGACCATTTACTCTATCTACAATTACGAATGCCAACTCGCAGATTTAATAATCATCATTGAGTTCAATATCCTATTGTTATATACAAGCTGTATGATTACCATGGTGATGAACAAACTAATTAAAGGCAAAACATTTGGAGACATATTATACCCAGAAAAATATATAATGAGGATTCTAATCAAATTTATGGATGCAATCAAACCTCTGTATCCTTTAAAGACTGCCAAATGCTGAATGAGCTTTACGTATGCTAATGCTGCATCTGATGAGCTGGAAAAACCGAGAACTAGTCAAACCCAAAAAAAAAAGAAGAGAGAAGACAGAGAGAGAAAAAAGGTCATACAGATTTGGCAAACTGAAAATGGTATATCTGAGGTACACTTTTAGCACTGAAACTACCTTGATACATCAGCAAAGCAAGTTGCATGCACCAGCGCATTCAGGTGAGAGAGTGGAGCGCTAATGACAGAAAACAATCAGATTATGAGAGAACCATACCAGAATGCTTTTCCAATAAATATATTCTATTAAAGTTTAATTTCTTTGAAAAGTAATTAAATCAGCTTTAAGGAATATAATTACCTCTACAACGCATAGAAAATTTACCTGCCATATAACTCCCATGCAGTTGCACGAAGAAGATAAGATGAACCCAACAATTGCAATACAGATCCAGGAACAAATGTGGGTTGTGCACAGAACTGAAAAATGTTAGAACTATTACTAGACATATTCTCTTGTGACAAAACTAGAGAACCCGTCGGCTTCTGTAAATTTTTAAGCCATCCTGTGCTAAAAGCACCATCAACTGTCATTGCAGAACTCTCTGAGCCAAAGTCACTAATCAGATGAGAACTCAATCTGATTTCCTGCCAACCACGAAAGAACCAAACAAAATTACTAATACTTCATGTTGAATGCGCTGAAAAACAGCCACTGATCAAAATACAATCACAAAGAATCCTCCTACCTTGCATACATTAACTGGGCATGTCCCAAGCTTCATAAAAGCTTTTGGACCAAATGATAGCAAGGGCCTCTGTACATGCTGCAATGCAAGAGATACCACTACAATGTAAAGATGCATTGGAAACAATTTGAATTTTCAGTTTAGATTAACATGATTCAAGATGCAAAGAAACTTAAAGTTACTTGTACTTGAAGAGACTTAAATATGAAGTTGTTGAGTGGGACCTTTTGATAACAAAATATCCAAAGATTTAGTTATTGATAGAGCATAATGGCGTTATGTAATTCATGTAACAAACCCCACCTAAAGAGATCAGGTTTATCGTTGTTGTTAAAGCAACTTGAATAATACAAATATTAATGATGCTCTATATTATATCATATAAATAATGACGTGGTAGGATTAGGAATTTAGTTTAATGGTAATGACATTTTGGTTTTTTATTACAATTATAATCCTTAAAATGTTCAAATATGACCCGATAATACCGAATACTAAAAAGTTGCATTCAGGGAGATAAAAAAAGGAGCTGCAATTTGTTCGTGGACAGTAAAAGATACAAATTCATCTACTTTATTTTACTTCCTCCTCTGGTTCTCCTCCTCCTATGATCTATATCAGCCCCTTTACAAAATACAAAGAGTCCCATATGAGGCTTAAGCCAGCTGATTTGGTGTGAAATCCTATATTTCCCAAAGGTCCAAGCAGGTGGAAAATATAACTTAGCCCACTGATTAGGAATTTAAGGAAAATCGAAAGACAAATAGATTACCGGCAATGAAAAGTGTTCTATGTACAGAAAATTTCATTACCGTTAAATCAAACTTGGCCATTGCTAGATGATTAGAAGCCACCAAACGTTTTAACTTTAAACTTTCTGCTCTTTTCAAAGAACCTCTCAAGAGCACGAATAACTGTTGTTGAACTGAGAGTGTAATGCCTATGCTTGTCAAAGGTGAGTAGGACAATCCTAGCATCTTTGATGTACTCGAGATGCCATTTTCAAACAGCAAGTTTGAGATAGCTGCTAAGGTGTACGCAAGACAGGTATCATTACTTTGCTGCATGACAAAAACAGTCAGTTTTCACTGCATAAATATATATATATATATATATATATATATAAGTAAGTCGTCTAAGTCTAAGCAGTTTTTCAGAGCTCTTAGGTTAAATCTCCGCAACCAGCATGCACCAAAAACAATGATTATATATAACTAGTAGCCAAGGAATCAGTCAACAAATATTTCAATGAACATTAAATATGTATAGCTAAATAGTAAAGCAGTCAACAAGCTTTTAAATTGACACTAATCAATGCTACAAAAACAAGACTGAGATTAGCTCCAGTAACCGAAGCAGGGAATCAAATCATCATGAAAGAGCTAAATTTCTGAACAGTTTCCCCTGGATGCCAAGAACACAATCTGTGATGAATAATGGGAGTTCAATTTAACTTACTTTTAAGTGATTTTGCACTGTATGAGGTAAATATGTGAGCGGAGTTATCTCATAAAGTGTTCCCAAACAACCCCTCTATCAACAAAGTCACAAATTACCAAGTATCTTGCTTCAAAGACCAAGTCAAGATTCAAAACGAAATCAGGTGGACATTGTTTAATTCGTTTTTACCCTGGACAGGTTTCAATTAGATATAGGCATAAAAGTAATGAGGGACGTGAAGAAAACATGAGCAGAAAGGACGTTAGCAATTAACAAGTATAATGAGTATATTAAATTAACCTTGTCATGCAACTGTATTTACGTTGAGACATAATCAAAATCAATTATAATCATCATGTCATATTATTTTATGGGGAAAAACATGTAACTGATAATTACCTGCTGAGAAACACGAACGGCTTCTGTCAGAACCTAAGCACAACATAATCAAGTAAAATCAGCATTGCACAAAGGAAGTAATAAAAAGTAGAACTAAAAGGCTTCGGCTTAAAATTTAGCTATATGGAGCATCTTTGAACATTTTACCTCCAAAGCTAGCTTTGGATGCCCAAAATGAAAATGCATCATCCCCAAACATAATAAAGCAATCTCATATCTTCCAAAGCTATTACTGGTAGCCGGGGGAACAAAATCAAATCCTTCAGTCCCTGCACTTTTGTCCCACAAATCACAAATAAGTTCAACAGAAGCATATCAACTTTCACCAATTTTTCTTTGCTATTAATTCTCTCTATAGAATTGGGGGTGAGTGAGGCCAGAGTAATCTGATTTCAACAAGACCTAGAATTCAAGGCAAAGTAAAAGATTTACAATTTCACTTGTAATAATAAGTCTAAGCATGAACATTTAAGCAAATAAAAATTCATAGTGCAATCCTGGGGTATGGCAAAAATGTGGAAGACCACCATAAGAAAATGCAACTTTTGAAGCACATTTAATATCTTTCATTCAAAAGATACTTTACTTGACTTTCCAACAGAAAACTCAGTGACTATTTGATAATCCATGTGGCAGGTTACAAGGTATCATAAGCTGTTTAGTGTGAGCATCCTCATATGCTGTGACCAGGTGATTTTGGAGCTATGACTCATTGAATAAAAAAAGTCAGCAAAGAATAATTAGTAGTGAATTTAGTTCTTTGTTCACATAAAATCTATTGAACAACTTTTATTTTTTGAAAAACTTCTGAGGAGTTTCAGAATACGGCTTTATAGGGAATGAAGTGTTGATAGATAAGGCAGGAATGTGGCAGTCAGAAACAACGGCAACTGAATACTGTTGAGGTCATGCTCCCAACGTTGGCAGCAAGTTGCTGTGATTGATCTAGCAATTAAATACCAATGAAGACGAGGTAGAATATAAAACATTGAAAATTGAGTCATCTCCAGCCCTAAGTTATATTCTATCTAGTTTCCTTTATGAATTACAAGTTGCAATAATTGGGACAAAGCAAAGCTTTTTGTTGATAAAGTGAAAATAGTTCATTTATAGCATTGCATCAAGTCCTCCAGCACTCCCAGTACAAGTTGCAATAGGATTAACCAAGTTCGCTGAGAGGCAGCGTTCAACCAGAAGAGACGGGAATATGCAAAACATTGATGCTTTCTTTCCACTTGTTTTGTATGTGATCAAACATTTAATGATTAAATAACAACCAGACACTGTCAAATACCTCGAGAGATGGGATAAACAAACTAACTTTTCAATTACCTATAATCAAAATAGCAATGAAGATTCTCCAAAGCAGCAATATAATCATCATGGGAAAGACTGTTCAAGTAGCGCAAAAAGTGAACCTGCACTGAATGATCGCTCAAATCAAAGAGAACTTCTAGAAAAGGGGAAAAGACTTGTAGAATAAATATGGTCAATCAATTAAACATACCCGATGTAGTTCAGGTGCCATCTTTTGTAGCTGCCGGAGAACAATTTCAAACCCATTCAATGAGACAGAGCTACCATCCCTGCAAAAGGACAATAATATCACCTGCAGTTAATATACAGGTGCTCTAAGACAAACTTATGAACAAATTGATTAAGTTCCAGGTCTAAAAGATGCATACTTTTCAATGGTATCAGCTTGCTCTTGTAAGTAACCTTGTACTTGCCAGTTTGTTCGGAGAAATATCCCAGTACTGGGATCAATATCTGGCAGCATGTTACTCGAAGGATCTCCATAAGAACCAGCTTCTCTGCCTTTCTCAGTATGTTTGGACACCAAATTAGGAGGAACATCAATATCTATGCATGTGAGTTCAAGATATCATTATCAATTTCATGGAGCAGAAAGTACCAGACACCAACAAAGTTCCAGTTACACGGTTGTGTTAAACAGGGATCTGAAAGTGTAGGCACAGAGCAACGACCCAAAAGAGAATTTGGAGATGATTTGGATAGAGGAGACTAGGATTTGCTTAGAAGATAAAATCCCATACCAAAGGAGGAACTGTAATAGGCTTCACTGACCGTTAGAGTCTAAAAGAGGTTAACAATGTCAAGTTACGCAAGTCAAATCTCTATTTCATATGTGCCAAAGGACTACAATTTTGACCCTATAATTAGTATCTAAGTCAGTAGCGTGGTCAAAGATAAAAGAATCAAGAAAGTGATTTTGCATGAACGAACAGATTTGAAGCAATTTTTTCTTAGGTTAGCCTCTAAGTTAATGGTACAAACAGAGATCAGAGAATGAAGAGGGTGATTTATTATTTTACTAATTATTAAACTCAATCATAGACCACTTTTTTCTAGGAGGCAAGTAGCAAGAGAATTCCCAATTTAATTTTCTGATATATTCACAATCTCATTCTATGAGTCTTAGACAAGTTGTGCTTCTTAAACAAAAGGACAAATAATATACAATGTCAAAAGGAGAATGAAATCAAATTCCTATACCATCAACTAAATCCAAAAGTGTTTTTGGTGCATGAAGATGAAATGGAACTTTTTCACTAGCCTCCTTTCTTGCCTCAATTTCTTCTGAAACCTTCTCATACACAAAGTTCTCCAGGTCCATGTTCTCATATTCTGAACATGTCTCAATATTGCTACTAGAGTCATCTAAACAAGGTTGCTCATAAGGAGGACAGCTTGATGGTGCTTCTTTACGATATATCTCAATGTTTGTTAAAAGATGGCATACACCCTGAATATTCAAAACCAAAACAAATAAGCACATAATAAGAAAATTCATCTATAAGAAAATTTTATTTAGTGACAGCAAGGTAAGGAGGCACAGAATATAGAAGGTTCAAAATGTCTACTTTGCAAAAAGAAAATGTAATTTATAGAATATGCAAAGAAAAAGTAATTGTTTGATGATTTCTTTCAAGTTCTGTCTAACTCTCTGCACACTCCAATCTATTCTTCCCACTGTAATAAGAAGGAAGTTTATTAAGAATATTGCTCGTTCTGGAATACCCTATCATCCTAATTCCAAGAGATAGATAACTGAAACCCCTGTAGACAGTTTACTATACCACCTCTGTCTTCCCCACTCTACCCCATTTCAGAAGGATAATCAAGGTGATCTATGCCACTCAATGTATATGAGAAATAAGCAACACATGGTCCACAATTAAAAACTTGGCAAGCAGATACAGAAATGTGATGGTTCACAATCCCATTTGCCAAGAAACAGAAGATCAACAAATTCAGCTTTATCTGTCTCATGCAATTTTCTTATCTGATGTTAAGAAAATACTTGAGAGCTACATTGTATGTGCACCTGCAAGTGTGGATAACGAAGAGAGTGAAAAATGGAGATATCTTTCACAAAGAGGAAAAGGGAAAAACGAAGAGAAATTAAGGAAGCCTACTGGGAATGTAAAATTTTACTCTAAAGAAGAAAGGTCACTTTTTAACGCATCAAAGGAAATACAGAAAGAAGGCATGGAGGGAGGGAGACTTGCTTAGGAACATTGATTGAGAGAATTGCTTCCAAGTTGCAGGAAAAAAATTAAGTCCACCAGAGAACAAAATTTAAATGCAAAATTCCAAATAGAAAAATTCCTGCCAAAAGAAAATGTCATCACCCCATGAATATTAATTATGCCAACATAATCTTTACTTGTTTAGAGATGAGGCACGTAAAAAGGTTACTTTAACATTAACATCCAGAATACATCCAAACCACCTACTTATACTAATATACGACCTTCAACCCTTTTAATAGTATCCTATGCTTACCTTCAACTGCTGGCAAAATTACAAAAAGTGAACATTCAAACAAACCAACCATGTTTGCTTCAACCCACAGGAAGTACGAAAATATCATACCTCAAAAGATAGCAAATTGAATGCCAGTACACAACGTCGAAGAAATATCCCCAGGTTACTGTTTAGGTCCAATATCACCTGGTCGTCCTCAACAACACCTGAATCAGGACCTGCAAGTATTCCTGAACAGAAATAAAATAAAATCAAAAAATAAAAAAGTCAAACTATTAAATCAGCAATCATGACAGGTACATAAGTAAAACAACATTAAAGGAGGGAGCACAATAAACAAAATGTGTAAAGAAGGTGAAGGCTGATGACAATTGCGCAAATCAACTAACCTCTCATTTCTGTAAAGAAGTTAAACAAATCATCAGGTGATAACAAAGACGATAATCTACTTGTCAAATGGTCAATAAACCAATGATTTGAGAGGCCACCAACCACCCTTAATTGATGAATGAGTTCATCCAATTTCGGCTCCAAGATATCATCGCATGACTGCAATGTAACAATACTTTCACGCAACAAGCACACATAAAAATATTTGACTGGTAAACATTAAGGCAATTTACAACCCAACAAAGGATTTTATACAAGACACACCTATTTCATTTCATTTTCTCCCAAGATAGCTCATAGTTTTTAACAACCAGTTAAAAGTTAAACAAATGAATAACACACTTATCTCTGGTATCCCACCTTGATATTTCAGGGTAACAATGGCAGGGGGAAGCCAAAATCAACATTTGTACCAATCAAAACCCACACTTCTCTTTCCAGAAGCTGAGAATTTCGGAATTTCTTTCATTACACTAAAACCACCCTTTGACTCCCGACTAGAACTGCTAAATATCTCCAAATTCAAATGCATTACCCTTTCTACACTTTCCCATAACTCAAAAGCGAAGAAGAATGAAACTTTATGATGCAAAGGCGCACCTTGGTGAGGGCCAACAAGAACAACCCAAGCCGGTTGTGCTGAGCAACGGAAGAGAAAGCAAAGGGGACCGATATTTGTCCTGGTGGAGCATAGATCTTAAGGAGTATGCAAACTGAAACTTTGTGCGGTGTGATTGCAAACGCACTTGGCTGTTTGAAAATGCCAGCCATTATCAGTAACACTTTCTACTAATATATCTTGTGGTCGCTCTCTCTATGCACAAAATGTTTAGTCGATTGCACTTCAACTATTACGACTTCGTCCGGTGTTCTTTCCTACGGTCTGGTTGGCAAAGTTCGTCCGGCTTGCCTGGAACTGAGCAGGGAGGTCTTCTCTTTTGCAAAAGTGGGAGAAGAAAAATGAACTATTTGGCCAGAGAGACCGGGCTTTTATTTATTTATTTTTACTGAAGCATAGCTATCTTAAAAAACAATTCTATTCGAGACACTATTCGGTATTAAATATGGGCACTTCTCATATCTTCTTAAAAGTAATTCTATTCGAGATACTATCCGGTACTAAATATGAACACCTCTCTCAACATGGTTTTTATTTTTTAGTTAAGAAGGGAGATATATTTCAGTTTGACTTGGGCTTAACAACTCCCTAATAAGAAAATAAATTAAGCATCACATATTTTATTTTATTTTTATAGATGATTAAAAATTAAAAGAAACCAATATTTTTCATTTTACAAAAAAGAGGAACTAAATTGATCACGGGCACTAAATGATTTCTTCAGGGAAGAATAACAATCAAGCAATGTTTTAACAATTTCATGAGGATTCAAAGCCATACCTATAGGTTAAGACCGTGAGGCATTTTCCACATTCTTTTCCATTTGTATTAACCCTATTTTGACAAAAGAAAATTTGTTTTGATCGAGGTTAATTTGCTTTCTCAAGTAGTACGAATAAGGTTGACTATCAAGTCTTTGATGAACTCATACCTCGCAAATCAATTATCATACATGTGTGTGTGTGAAGTGTGCCAGTTTTTTCTTGGGTGAGGGTGAACCAAGAGACTCCAAGCATCTCATTTCAATTGTTTGAAATCAAAGTCAAGCATGGAAGGATAATCAACCTTTTTAGAAAGGTCTTATACTCCTCCGGTCCTAATTATAAGACCCAATTGACTTATTTGAGGAGATTAAGGAAGTAAGTTAAGTTGGTTATTTATAATAAATAAGTGTTGTTATTCCTAAAATATCCTTGCTAATTAAGTATATTAGCTAAAACTATCATTATTAGAAGGATTATCTTGGAAAAAAATGCATAAATATAAAAGAGAAAATGGATTGGATCTTATAATTAGGACCAAATAAAAAGTCAAATTGGGTCTTATAATAAGGACCGGAGGAGTATTAGAGACCAAGATTGTGACTAAGATTCAGAAAAATCTTTAAAAAAGTATTTAGTATAAGTAATTATTTATTATACGAGACTAAGCAAACTCATATAGGTAGAATTCGAAAATACCACCTCTTCCTATGATATTCTCCAATCTCACATTTGCATGTTTGTCCAATTTTAAATAACAAATAATTTCCTATACTAAATACTTTTTTAATAATTTTTTTCAATCTCAATCACAATCCTTATCTCTCATTTTTAGTGTTTAGAATCTTAGGTCAATGATGTTATAGCTTAATAGTATGAAATTTTTTTTGTGAGTGGAAAAAAGTAGATTTAATACTTTCGTAACTCCAAACTATTAATATTTACTCATATAAATAAGAAAAGAAAATAGAATATTGGGATATTTGAAGTTTATCATCTCATCCCACATGATAAATTGGGTAGAATAACATTACCTCCCGTCCTAATTATAAGAGCCAGTTGACTCATTTGAGGAGATTAAGGAAGTAAGTTGAGTTAGTTATTTGTCCTAAATAGATGTTGTCTTTCCTAAAATATCCTTACTAATCAAGTGTATTAACTAAACTATCATTATCAGAAGGGCTACTTTAGAAAATATATATATATAAATATAAGAGACAAAGTGGATTAGGGTCTTATATTTAGAACCAAAATAAAAATCAAACAAGGTCATATATTAATAATCGGAAGTAGTATGTTACAATTGCATAAATGCAGATCACATTCGGAAGGAGACCTTGTATTCAAATATTTAAGAAATAAGAATATCTAACATGGATTCTATTCTCTTCTCCGTTATAGTGTTGTAAGCAGAGCCACTAGCATAAACTCATTTGGGATGGAAGCAGAATATGCCCCTATCAAGGGTCCATGACATATACCTGCATAAAGCCTAGCCTAATTTATTTAATAAATAAGAACTTATATTCATGGCTATTTCCATTTTATTTTTACAAAAGCCTAGTCTATAAGCCTACAAGCCTGACTTATCCATTTATTTTTTTAAATTGCATTATTATATATTCCTCTAATCCTATTTATAAGATAAAGAGAGAAAACACTTTTTATCCTATTTACGGGACATTGAAAGAAATTTTTTGTATGAATGTGCAATTTTTTCCTTCATTTATTATTATGTTAACTTTTTTGACAAATATATAATATATACTCCTCCGGTCCTAATTATAAGACCCAATTGACTTATTTGAGGAGATTAAGAAAGTAAGTTAAGTTGGTTATTTATAATAAATAAGTGTTGTCATTCCTAAAATATCCTTGCTAATTAAGTATATTGGCTAAAACTATCATTATTAGAAGGATTATCTTGGAAAAAAATGCATAAATATAAGAGAAAAAATGGATTGGGGTCTTATAATTAGGACCAAATAAAAAGTTAAATGGGGTCTTATAATAAGGACCGGAGGAGTATTAAATAAGCATAAAGTTGAAAAGTTGTTGCATTTTAAATTAGAGTTAATAAAGTTTAAGATTTTCCTTGATTTGTATGAAACATGTTGGAAGTGACTTATAAATAGAATAAGAGGAGTATGACATAAATCAATTTTATAAATTCCTTATAAAATTACAAACTTTGGTTTGATCATGAGTTTCACATCACAACATTCCTACATAAGATTAGCCCCCTTCTACTCATCAATTATTTGCATCTATTTTTTTATTTTCGGTGACAATGTTAGCTCACTTCCTCTCCCTTAATTTTGTTGTTTGTTAAAGTATAATAGTCGTTGTAAGTTTATTTTAATGGTGTGTAAATGAAATGCAATAATCTCATAAAGAAGACTTTGTTACAATTTATGCACGTAAACCAAAAGAGGTAAAATGCAATTTTATATGCCACTTGTTGTGTTTAATTAATTTTATAAAATATACCTATTTATTTTTTTCATTCGTATTTGATCCAACAACTATTGTCACTATACATTCTTTTCTTTTTCTTGATAGACTCTTGTATTTCAAGTGAGAATGAATTATAGACTTTCAAGACATAACATGTTTTTAAATAAGTTTGAAGGGTTATATATAAACTTAAAAACATGGATTTTTAAGTTTATTTAAATACCTATATTTTAAATAGGCTTTTAAACTAGTTTCAGCCTTATCAAGCCATTTGAAGTCTTAAACTTAAACCTAAAAAAGTGTCTATATGCCTTTGAAAACTCAAGCTCAAGCCCACAAAAAGCCTATATGCAGACTTATGTTTTAGATATTTATTATAGACCAAACTTATTAGCTAAAACCTAGACTAGGTGGCCTATTTCAATCCCTAGGCTAGTAAGCTCATCATACCCCATGATAATGAGAGAGCCAGAAATGGGATCATGCACTAGTGTAATGTGAGCTTATGGGTAGGCCCTAAGCCCAATCAATAGCCCAGGAGTTGAGGAAATATCTGAATTTGATGTAAACAAGGTTATCTGCCTGAGTCCATATGGGCTAATTTTGTTGACTCTAAAGATTATATTAAAAAAATTATTTAAGAATATCTTAATATTAAAAAAATGTTAAATATGAACTATTTTTAAGTTTGCAATTATTTTTAAGTTTCCAGTGATATCTTGGCTAATTCTAATATTATATCATTTTAAATTTTAAAAATAATGATATATTATAAACATTATTTTTTTGCACATACATAAATTATTATCATCATGATTGTTCTTGTTTGTCATGTTATATGTCATGTAAGGGGGGACATCGGAGCGAGCTCAGGCCCAATCCAATGCCTGGTGTGGACGGACGTGGATGGGAATTGGAAACCCTCGTGAAAATCACTAGATTTCACTACAGGGAAGAAAACAAAACTTCATAGTCGTATCAATGAGAGAAATGATTTCGTTTTGGTGACAAAAAATGAAAATTCTGTTTTTGTTCAATAACTGCAAGTCCAGTGAACGTACCTACCGGTCCCCTTTATTTATTTTTTATTTTAATTTAATTCTTCTTCAATCCAGAAAGAGAAGCAAATCTTTACAAATTACAAATATCACCCAAAACCCTTTTGCTTCAGTTTACGACAGCTCTGGATCCACCCTCATGGCTTCCAATGGTGCTTCCGCGGTTAGTCATCCCTCCCTCATCTCTCCGCGTGCGTTGGTATTTTGCAGGTTGTAATATTCAGCTGAATTGCAATGTTTCAGACAGTGGCCGCGGATACAGAGAAGAGCTTGGAGAAGATCAAGAGGCAGTTAGCTTCTGGTTCTGGCAGAACTTTGCTGCAGGGGCCACTTCTCAAGCGATCTGAAACTGTAATTCGATTCTCATGTAGTCTCTGTGTTTATGAGTATTGTTCGAGTTTTATCGATTGCGTATAGAATTAATAATTCTTGACTCGGGAATTATTCGATTTTCTGGGGGGAAATCTCCCTGGACTATTCGAATTATAAGTTTGCTGCATTCAATAAGTCTTTAAGATGTGAGGGAACATCATGAAATTTGGAACCAAAATTTAAAGAAATCTGTAAAAATTTATCCGCATCTCCATCCCAACTGGACGTTGACCAGAAAGTTCTTTGGATCAAGGAAGCAGCTTCTTGCGGTTAATTTTAACACAATTTCATCTTTTTCATTCTGGGCAAAAGATCAGGACTTGCTTTATCACAAGTTTATCTTGTCTCCCCAATTCTATTAGCATCCCATTTCTGACTCCCCCCAAGTTTTTCTTTTATCACCTGACAATTGGTTGGTTATTTTTTTGATAGCATGTGCTATTTTCTTTAGAAGAATGTCCTAAACTCTTAATATGTTATTGTTGAGGCTTTCCGAGAATGGCAAGCTCTTTCCTCTTTAATTAGATTCCTTTTTGCTAGCTCATGAAAATGGTTTTGTGTTTACAGCTAAGAAAATGGAATGAGCGTTGGGTAATCTTGGACCCGACAACGGGGAGGATGGAGTACAAGTATGTTATTTATCATTTCTTCCTTTTGAGTTCTCATTTTGTGGGAGAGACTCTTTGGCTACTAATCTTCTTTGTTATTTCTCTTTATGTAGGACAAGGAGGAATGAACCAACTATAAAGGGGACCATAATATTTGATGCAAATAGCACAATTACTGTATCTCCTGTGAATTTCCAGTAAGAATGGTGTTGTTAGGCAAGCTTGTTATGATTAATTTTCTGTTACAAGTTTCCAATGGACGAAGCTGGCTCTTTATGCTCATTAAAATTGAATTGCCATCTTTCTGTGTGTTACAGTGGACTGCCAAAGTATGATGGATGTTGTATCTGTATCCTAGTTTGTCTACTGCCCCCACTATTTTTTAGCGCTTTGATTTATCAATTCATAGGTGTCTATCGGAGACAACTCTGCTTGCATTTATCTTAACTATCTTCTTTAGATATTGGGACACCGCAGAAAAACGATTATTTTCTCTGTGCGGAGACTCCTGGCGCAGCTAGAGCTTGGGTGTCAACTTTGCAGTAAGTTTTCTAGCCCCACTTGCTTCCCCACATCCTTTTTCCCAACAATATTAGTATCTATTGAATATATAATAGTTGAGTCTAATTTTTAGTTTTTCACACAACAACAACAGTAATAAGCCCTATCCTGCTAAGTAGAATCAGAAATATCATTCACTATGAGATCTTGTTCAATAAGACTAGAGTCCATCTGCTTAACTCCTCATTGGTGCCTCTTGCATCCTTCTTTGCACATGTCTACACTACTTTAATCAATTTTCTACTATTTTTTTTTTTACAATAGTTGTTACACCAATTTTTTCTCATGTATAATCATTTGGGATTTTTTCTTTACTTGTATAACCACCCATCCATCTTAACATTCTCATCTTTGCTACACCTACATTTTGTTGTTGTTATCCCTTCAATGCCCAACATTCACTATAAATAGCATTGCTGCTATGATTTTTACACTGGTAATTTTATTCTGTCCTTGGAAATTCCATTAGTTTATGAGTGTTTGATGATTTTATTACTAGTGCAACTCAGTTGGTTCTAAAAGCCCATAAGGAGGCTGTGAATTCCTTAAGTGGCAACGGTTCTGCAAAATTAGGAACTGTTGCAACAGTTGTTGCTGCAGCCAATTCAACAGCCATGGAGAGTTCCAAAGAAATTGAATCAGCAATGCAGGTTTCTCTGCGAAATGCTCTGGGGATGATAACAAATAAGACTCCTGACGGTCCTTTGGATGATATGACAATTATGAAGGTACAGTACTACAGTCTAGTCCTGTTATCTTTTATCTCTGTCCGATGGACAGTTTAGCATTCAAGTATGGTCGAATCCTTGTTAGTTCTGTCTTCTTCTGGTCTATTCTGCTACTTAACTCAGTCTGGCAGGGTTGGAGCAGGCCTTTTCCTGGGTCCCCTCTTTTTCTGGTCAATTTTTGTTCTATTGGGTTCCTCGGATTTTGTTTGTAGGAGCCTTCCTTATTTTTTGTTCCTTAATTATTCGTTGACTGCTTTGACTTTTGTGAGATTATGAGGGCTTCACCCCTCTGAAGTTCTATCTTCGCTGGTCCTTTCAAAATCTTTCATATGCATAGAGGGAAGAATTATTATCGCACGATGCTAGTAATGGAAGAACTTGAACAACAGACAAGAATAAATATTTTTGCTTTTTATATGCTAGTAGGTTTGGTTAAACATTAAAAAATTAACAAACTTTTTTGAAGTATTGATACGCTACAAATCCAGTGGTCACACTTAACCCATGCCCTCCAAATTCTTCTTGTGCCTTTATCGTTTTTTATTTTGTCGGATTTGGTTCTAACAGCAGAACCTTTTCTTCCAGGAAACACTGAGAGTTAAGGATGAGGAGCTACAGAATTTGGCTCGAGACCTCCGTGCCCGTGATTCAACAATAAATGATATATCAGAGAAACTGACTGAGACTGCTGAAGCTGCCGGGGCAGCAGCATCAGCTGCTTATACTATGGATGAGCAGCGGAGAATCGCATTTGCTGAAATTGAGCGTTTGAAAAAGGATTCAGAGAAGCATCAGGAGGTGTATGCGCAGAAGGTATGTTACTGTTCTCGATCAATTTGAAGATTTTGAGTAAAATATGATGAACCGTGATATCCAAGCTGTAGCAGTGGGTATAACTTGCTGTGACATTTCTCTTGTTCATTTGCCTTAAATCCTTTTTATAGCTGAAAGAGTCTGAAGAAAAGATTATGAGCTTGAGCAAGGAAAGAGAGCAATTAATCAATCAGAGAGATGAAGCTATTCGGGAAGCAAATATGTGGCGCTCTGAGTTGGGGAAAGCTCGAGAGCATGATGTGATCTTAGAAGCTTCTGTTGTAAGGGCAGAAGAGAAGGTTAGGGTTGCCGAGTCAAATGCTGAAGCTAGGATAAAGGAAGCTGTGCAGAGAGAATCAGAAACCGTAAAAGAGAAGCAGGAGCTTCTTGCTTATGTCAACATGTTAAAAGCACAACTTCAAAGGTTCGATATCTCAATCTTTGGCACTTGCTTATACTTTCCTTAACTAAGTTTAGTTTCTCATCAAGTTGCGACTATGGGCCAATATTTCCCTTCTGAAGTGAGTTAATTAACCAAACTTGTAGTACTGTATGTCAGGCATTACAGCGATAGCCCGTTCAGTACACAAAATAATAAAATAAAATAAAAAGAAGAATAAAATAAACAATGAAATGAATTAATCAAAGGATACTTTTAAGGATAGAAAACAAATCATTGACAGACATTGACAGACAATGATTACGAGAATATAATAATAAGCACTACCAAATTTTCGAAGATTCATTTTCCTGTAACAGATCAAATGGTCTCGGAGTGAAGCTGGGACCCAAAAAAGAACAGCTATACTTAAGTGTGTCATACTGTCATCTATTGATTCATTGAGCGGGCTTTTTTTTTAATGCTAATGAAGCAGATAATTTTTGTTGTTAACAGACAACACATTGATACAACTCAAGTTTTTGAGAAGACAGAGTCTTGCTCAGACATGAAGCATGTTGATCAAACAGAAGAGAATGTGGATAAAGCTTGCTTAAGTGTTTCCAGAGCAGTTCCTGTCCCTGCAGAGAGTGTAGTTCACATGGCAACAGATCAGGTGAACGTCCGACCAGTCGGAGACAACGAATGGAGCGATATTCAGGCAACTGAGGCAAGGGTAGCTGATGTAAGGGAAGTATCGTCTGAAGCTGTAGGAAACAGCTTGGATATTCCGGTGGTTAGTCAACCTGGCTCTGATCATCACGAACAAGGATCAAACTCTTTCCATCAGCCCTGATCCCAAATCTTTGGCCATATAGAATTTTTCTCCCGGGGGGAATTGTAATTATACCATTTTATTTGTATGTGAATGTAAACTTATTTGATTTCATTTTCCTGGTTCCCTAATATGGCCTGCCCTGGCGAAGGGTATCTTTTCTACCATACAACGAGCTGGCCTCTTGTAAACTTCCACAGTGATGTGTAAAGTTTGATCTAACCCAGCAAGTTCGTTCCCAGAGGCTTGTGGGAAATAAATAATTTACTCCAATGTCAGCTTAAAATCATCAAATTATTGCAGGGCCTTGACTGTAGATAAAATTTTGGTCTATATTTATTAAAATGCCCTTAATTTAAACGTACTTTAGTTTTGGGAAGACTACTCTTGTGTGAGTAGAATCTAAGATCACTTGTGCTAAGGAAAATTTACCCGCCAATATGTCAGTAGTACATTTTGATACTATCTTGCGACAAACTAATGAAGATTTACATATAATAAAAAAAAAAGAAAGGACATGCACTAAACATAATGAAAAGGAATAGTTAGCTAGTGAAAGACACACTTAATAATATTCAAAATAGTAAGTCTAGGAATAACGACTACAACATATTTTGTCAAAGTACTTTCTCACTTCAGCCCTAGAAAAGATGCAGGCTGGGAGATACATTCATATCTCTGTGTATGTCATAATGCTCTGAAAGTTAAAAAACCAATGAATAGATCAAGTTACACATAAACATGTCAAGGGTAAGCTCTATATATATGCTCCTGAAAAAAAATTAAAATTTCAAAATGATCCTCTAAAGTCTAAGTTCTCCTTTTAATCATTCAAATTTTTCTTTTCCAATCATTCTTGTCCCTCCATCTATTCACAAAAATGATTGAAACCACCAAAAAAAAAAATCATCGAGAGAATATTTAAATAAAAGGGTTACTTACGCTTAAGAGGATCAAACTAAAAAATCAATAATATTTCAGGAGCAACAGTAACATATGAATTTAGTGCAACCTATTGGTTTTTAATATAATCTTGCTGAAAAGATTTTGACTAATCATCATTTTCTCAACAGGATTAAACTAAAAATCCAAAGACCTCACAAAATCCAAATCCGATCTATATATGATCGATCTATTTTCATCATGTACAATCAGTGGAATGATCAGAAGCAAACTGAATGACAGATCTGAGTTCATCCCAATTACCATTAGCAAGCACATCTTCCATATTCTGATGATGAGGATTCAAAAAGCTGTGGTTATAATAACTATTAGTGACCATTGACGAAGGAGCTTGATGATGATAAGCAGCAAACTGACCCAGAAAAAAGTGGCTTCTTTCATCAAGAACTGGTAATTTCCTTTCAAGATGATGAGTAATAGAGTCTGTTGATGATGATCTGAAACAAGTGGAGCTGTAAGGCATGTTGTTGTTGTTGAAGTCGTATTTGTCGAATTCTAATGTTTTAGGATTGCTTGAATCCGTCTTTGTTGCTGTTTTTGTATCTCTGGAAGTTGGTGTATATTTTCTGTAGGACGGGATTCGTTTGAATATTCTACAAAGTGTCCAAACCTCCTGCAAACGCATTAACGAAAAATTGGTATTAGTCTAAATAATTAAACTAAATCAGGAAATATGATCAGAATAGTTTTTTTTTAATATGATTATTTGAGTAGGCTAGATCCGGACAATGTCAGTTATTCTCTCAAAGGCATTTTTGGCATTCATATAAACTCAAATTTGAGATCTCATGTTTAAATGGCCAAAGCCGTTCCCACTATATCCAAGTCATAGTATTTCTCGGGCCTTAAATATAAGACCTATTTTGTAATGTAATTTATACTACAAAATGGGCTTTACATCTAGGACTGGAGGAGTATGTAATTTATTCTTTATTTAAAAAAATAAGTAGGCTTTAAAAATGAAAATAAAATATGTTATTTTAGCAAGATTCAAATGATCTATTTTATATCTTTTTAGAAGATTCTACATAGAAAATATAAAATAAAAAAATATATTTTCAATAAACAGACTTCTATAAAGACATGAAAGCACCATTTTGATGCAATCACCGACAAGAAATTAAGGGAGTGGACCATTCAGAGAAAAGCTGGTATATGTTGAAAGTTACATCTGTGCACATAGCACTAAAATTCATTGAGAGTGTGAGTATTCAACAGAGTTGACTTGGAAACCAAATATTGATGACTTTTTATTAATTTGAATTGCTATAACCCCAAAAAAAAAAAATCATCAAAATCGGCGAAATTTATTGCAGCTTAAACTATAAAAATACAAAATGGACGGTTGGTAAGCACTGTCAACTAAATTGAAAATTATTTCATTCATTATCTCTAGAAGCTATGAAAAAAACTCTGTAGAAGCTATGGAAAAAGAAAGTTCCGATTCAAAATTCTAATGAAGACTCTACATAAATACCCACACATGCACACTCTTATGTTAATGAAAAGAGGTATTACTCAGATCTTAAATTGATGAATGCTAAAAAGTTGTTTATGCATAAATCTTTTATGTATTTCGCCTTCTTAAATATCGATCTTGATTTTTCTTGGTCTCTAAATATAAGTCCTAGCTAATACAAATTTTTAGATATAATCAATACTTGCTTTTAAAAAAAAAAAATCTCAAACCGAAAACATAATTCTTATATAATCAGATAATAGTTTGCTGTCTACAAGTATAATGAATCATAAGCATGGTTTTGACCTATAATATATAATGTAAATTAACTCTAATTAAAGTCAATTGTAATATTTTGGACCCAAAAAAAAAGTCACTTGTATATAACGTGTTTCTGACCCAAAATCTTTCCGATTGTCATCATTTGAATTTATGTTTTTTCTTTTTTTTAAAAAAATAAATGTTTGTACTCTATACAAATAAATGGTTCTAGATGGGCTTACTTTCAGTTATTTTATATAGAGTTTTCAAAGAGAAGAAAATTCAACAGGAGGATTTTCGGTACACAAACATCATCCAAATAAGAAATTTAGTTTTCTGCAAATTAAAACTCAGTGGTAAGAAATTATTTGCTTCAAATTTTCAACAACTATACATATATAAATATTTATATAATATCAGAAAAGGCATAGCTAGAAAGAAAATGTTTTGTGTTCAGATGGAGACTTGCCTATGGCAAAGGCTTCTAGTTAGTTTTCCTGTTGTTTGCATGGTTTCCTCAGTATCAAAACAAAGAAGATGAATTTCACACACAACTATATTTTTCTTCTTTATTTTAATATAAGAATGCATGAATATAAATTATTCAATTTAAAACATTCTAAAGTACACTCAAGGCACCCTTATACACAACACTATAAAAATTTACTTCATAACAATTAGGACATTCTATGGAGCTTCTTGAAAAAAATTTTCTTGGCCACACTATTAAATAACAATATCAACAGTATTCACTGCATGGTATTATGGATAAAGGTACAAATTTACCCCGATCTTATTTCTCATGTGCACTCAATACCTTATTTTTTTAGCTATACAATTTAATTTACTTATCTTTTTTTTTTTGGCACTCAAAGATCAGGGATAAAATTGCACCTAAAAACATGAGATCATAGGTAAAATTAGACCGCAAAAAAAATATCATATAAAATTACACCACTAAAAAGATTGAGGTATTGGTAAACCTGAGAAATAAGATCGGAGGTAAAGTTACACCTTTTACCCTAGTATTATTTCAACTGAAAGTGAAGTGAAAAACTAGGGAACAAGTTTTTCATTTTTTATATCTATGTCTCGTGCATAAAGGCCAAGTCTATTTCATTTTCTCTCTCTCTCTCTCCGTCCCTTCATGGGATTATGCATGGGAATGCATAATAATGTAGTTAATTTCTTGTAGATGACTAGGGCTATACATGTAACTTCACACATACATAAAAGAGAGCTAATCAAAGAGGAGAAGGGAAGGGAACTTACAGCTTCTTGAAGATGACTGGTGGTGGGGTAGTAGGGTGGTTATTAGGAGGGAGGCGAACTCGTGCATCATCCAATCAGTCTTGGTTCCTTTGCCAGCACTGCCCTTGTAATAGACGAGGGACTTCTTGAGGCCAATGCAGTGAGTGAGGGCATTATCGTAAATGGACTTGTCAATTCCCGTGGCTTTCCAGAAGCCTGACCCCGTAACCCTGTTTGGCCTGATGCTGTTCCTGTACTTCCTCCCTCTCTTGCAGAAGAAATACCATTCCTTCTCCCCCACGCTCCCGCTTGCCTCTGCTCATTCGTCATACCATATCCCACCATCCAAACAAACCATTTCACGTTAATTACTTCTCAATTGATGATCTCCTCAATTCTAATTAATATTAATATATACATACGTGAGATGATAATTCAGTTAGCTAGGGTTCCTTACTTCCTTTACACAAGACATAATACAAAAAAGTCTTGCATAATCATTACAACTACATAGTATATATTGATCTGTTCAAGCTAGTTTTAAGGATTTGATGAAATTAAGGTTCTGTACTTGTTTATTAATCTGTTAGCTGGACTGCTTCTGCAAATTATTCACACACACACACACACACAAAATAAATGGAACTTGGGATATGGAAATGAAGAAAGAGGTGTTAATTATTATTTGGAAGATCCCAGCAGGGATCGTATATAATTGTAATTTAAGTTTTAACGATTTCATGGAGATCATTTTTGGATCTCTCTCTCTCTATCTCTGAGTAGAAAGTTTCAAGTTCTGGTTCGAGTTTGAGTACATGCAGAAAAAGCCTTTGGGAGATCTTTCACAGTTATAGTCTGACAATGCTCGAATCTAACCTTGATCACATGGGTTTATAAAAAATACACACACCCAGAACTTGAAAAGCTTTGAGTTCTAAATATTTCATGGAGATATCTCTCTGATCTTTCTCTCTCTCTATATATATGTATATATTCACACAGACGACAGAGGTTAAAAAACTTCAAGTTCGAAGGATCTGGCGGAGATATTTCCATGATTAGAGGAACAGATGAGCGAGAGATAGAAATTGGAATGAATTATTTGTGAAGAAGAAAGGAGATAACAAGTGAACTTACTTGGGAGATCCCAGGGATCGTACTTGTAGATATCAATTTGTTTGATGAGTTCGATACGAAGGGGCTTCTTCTGGACCTTCCTTCTCAGGTAAAACCCTACCAGTTCTTCATCTGTTGGATGGAATCTGAACCCAGGAAGCATCCTTCTCTCATCATCATCATCGTCTTCCTCTTCTTCTCCCTGATGATCTTCAATATCTTCTTCTAATGATCTCATCATGTTGTTCTTATTCATCACTACCTTATCAGTATTAATAATATTACTGCTTTCATCCTCCATTTTTTTCCCCTCTTCTTCTTCTGAGCTTCTTCTGTGATTGTATGTATTCTCTCCTCTTTAAAAGACACTTTCAGAGTGGAGTCTCAAACTAAAATAATATATAATTGAAAAATATCCGAGCGTCATTCCATGACTTGTGGCTCCTCCTCCTGCAGTCAAGTCAAAAATTTCGATTGTGACATCGTTATGCTTGAATACTTCTCTTACCTAAAACTCTCGTTGACTAAATTTGTCACCACATCATCATTATTAATATCCAGTGGTTGATGACTACTAACTAATTTATAAATATTAACAAATTAGTTAAATTAGTTATTTGTATAATAAATACGTATTGTCTTCTCTAAAATACATCTGTTAATTATATGCATTAAGATGAAAACTATTTAACATATCGTACATATCACCATGAGTATTACTTTGAAGAAAAATAAATACATATAAGAGACAAAATAAATTGAAATCTTAAAATTAAATCTTTCAACTAGCTCTTATACTATAATTGTTCGTGTTTTCATTTTTAATTAATTTTGATCGTCAATGTAACATTATACTTATTGTCCCATACAACTCCTATTTACATCGGAGAATATTTGTTTCATCGTGTCCTTTTTTTTTTTTTTTTTAACATTTCAATGCTTTCTTTATGGCCGCACAAATTTCAAACCCATACCATTAATTGTTCTAGTTGATAATCATAGGGAAAAAAAAATTTTCCCTCTCATGGCCTCAAGTCCTTGCCAAACTATTACTTCTGGTACTTAATATAAGAGCTAGTTGACTAATTTGAGTAAATTTAAAAATTAGTTAAGTTAGTTATTTGTAATAAATAAATGTTGTCATTTCAGAAATATTCTTACTAATAAATCGTTTTGCCTTTTTACTTCTAGTCCTTAATATAAGAGCTAGTTGACTAATTTGAGTAAATTTAAAAAATTAGTTATATAAGTTAGTTATTTGTAATAAATAAATATTGTCATTTCAGAAATATTCTTACTAATAAAGCGTTTTGGCCAGAACTACTATTATTATAAGAATTATCTTGAAAAAGTTGGATAAATATGAGAGACAAAATGGATTGAGATTTTATATTTAGGATTAAAATAAAAGTCAAACAAGCTTTTATATCAAAGATCAGAAGTAATATATGTTGACTTTTTAAATTTTAAAAAAGTGTAGTTTTCCCACCATATGTAATATTTGTGGGAACATCATATACTTCCTTTTATCTTAAATATAAAACCCATTTTATAGTGTCTTATATTTAGAACCGGAATAGTATAGTAATTGTACTTTTTTTGTGGATAAATTCTGCTTTGGCCGCTCTTAAATATATGAGTGAGTTTAATTTGATCTCTTCCAAATAATTGATTTTAGTTTAATTTTTCAATAATCAAATTTAAAACTTGTGTAAGTCGTATGCTTTGCACAAAATTTAGAAAAGGAACCGCAATATTTGTAAATAATAAACAATATGATTTATTGTTTAAATTTACTATAATATATGAAAAAAGAACATGTCTATTTTACATAAAATATTGACCATAATTATTTTGAGCATGTCTCAGTGTTTTCATTAATACAATGGTGGATGGATTGAAGGGGTGTTTGAATACCCCAATAACAACTTTTTAGAAGCACTTTTTCGTAAATCAAGACAAACTCTTTTATATATTTACCTCGTATACTGTAAAAATACTTTTAAAAATATGGTTTTGATCTTACTTGAGTATAAGAAACTTAATTTTCTTCAAATATTATCAATGTTGCGAATCTTATATAAAAAAAATCATATTGAAAGAATTGCCGTCAATTGAAAATAAAAATATTTGAATTTCACTTATTTGGTTAAAAATTTTATATTAATTTATACTTAATAAAATTTAAAATTAATAGATATTTCAAAAATATTGGCTCTCTCATGACTTCTATTTTGGATCTGTCATTGTTTATTGACAAGTGTATATACAAAATATATTTACAATACATATAAAAACATATATAATTAATATAAAAAAGCATGTCATTAATTAGCCGAAGTCAACACTATTTCAAAAATGAATTGTTGTGTATCAGATATACCTAAAATAAAAAGTTCAATTTCTTAATTCGTAAGGGATCAAAACCAGACTATATTTTCTTAGAAAACCTGACAAGTTTACTTTTTAGCTTAGCTTTATGACATGTTTCTGACCTAATTATGAAATGAAGGCTTGATTGAGGATGGAAGGTAAGAAGCCAATAATTACCGACATTGAAATTTTTTGTATTTATAAAAAATATATTTTTAGTCTTTAATATAAGACATATTTAACTAATTTGATTATATTAAAAAAGTTAGGTAAATTAGTTAATTATAAGAAATATGATATGTTTTTCCTAAAACACCATAATCATCTTTCTTAATATTCTCTCTCTCATTCTTTTACTTGATTATGGTTGAGGGAGTATCAATAGGGGTAATTTAGAAAAAAATAATAAATATGAGAAATAGGTCTTATATTTAGGACAAAAATTAATTTAACAATTAGATCGTATATTAAGGACCGAAAGAGTAATAATTATGATATATTGGAATTTTTGAAAATATTGAGTTTCACAGCCAAAACCCTAAGAAAGTCTTTCTGAGTGGGCACTAACTTTTGAATATACATGTGAATCGAATGAGAAGAAGAAATGTGAAAGCACATTTTCAAACATCAACGAGATACACAAACATTTCAAAGGTATCTAATTTAATCAATAGAAAATCGTTAATTCATGCCAATAATTATATAATTAGACCAAACTATATTATATGTAATCATTTTCAAGTTCTTATGTCTTCAACGTCCGCAATTATTAACGCCTAATTAGTATCTGAAATAAGAGTTTATTATCTTTTTTTTTTAATTATAATTCATGCATTTATTGTACGTATTTGCAGAAGATTCGTACTCACAATCTAACGGTTAAACCAAAAATAAAAAATAAAAGAAGCGTTTGGCGTCATTAAGTTACAAGAACTTCACAAAATACGGCTTTATTGTTGGGACACTAAATTCAAACCTCTGTGTAATTTCATTAGTTTCAACAAATAACTGAAGTATAATATCAAGGACCAGTGTATAAATAATAATAAATTAAATAAGAGTGGATTCAATATATTTAATAGAGTTTGAGATTAGTCGTTTTTTTTTACAATTTGTAAATATTGTTAATCCCATGTTTTATATTTATATTTCATATTGACATTTCATTACTTATACTACCTTGGGTTCTAAATATAAAAATTAATTAATAATTTGAGTAGATTAAGAAAATAAGTTAAATTAGTTATTTACAATAAATATGTGTTGTTTTTTCTAAGATATTCTTACTAATCAAATTTATTGGCTAAAACTATTATTATTAAAAAGACTATCTTTAAAAATAAATAAATAAATATGAGAGACAAAATGAATTAAGATTTTATATTTAGAACTAAAATAAAAACTAAATGAGGTCTTATATTAAGGATCAGAGGTAGTAGTATTTTTTTCAATTTTTATTCTGTGAGTAAGGCCAGTTCTTGAATGTGAAACTGACAAAGTAGCTTTGAAAATCTTTTTTCTTTTTCCATTTGTTTCCTTTCCTTGGTGTGATTAATGTATAAGAATCTTTGGTGAGAACGGAGAGAATATTCAACTTTGCTCAACAACAATTGCACAATAAATTCCATTCTTTGTCCCCTTCCCAATAAGGGAAATTAAAGATTATTCATGTGATTAATAATTTTAATTTTGAAGATCAGGATCCATTTTTCTTTTTCGTATATGGGATTCGAGGTCAAGAGACGGATATATATATATAATTCATATAATTAATATAAATGTTGTTATACTTCTCCGGTCCTAATTATAAGACTCAATTGACTTATTTGAGGAGATTAAGGAAGTAAGTTAAGTTGGTTATTTATAATAAATAAGTGCTGTCATTCCTAAAATATCCTTGCTAATTAAGTATATTGGCTAAAACTATCATTATTAGAAGGATTATCTTGGAAAAAATGCATAAATATAAGAGAAAAAATAGATTGGGGTCTTATAATTAGGACGAAATAAAAAGTCAAATGGGGTCTTATAATAAGGACCGGAGGAGTAGTTAAGGATGAATGATTGTTGAATGATGAACATAAGATGTGAAAAGATCATTAATTTAATATTTTATAGACTAACAATTTCCATTGTTCGTGCTTCGTAAGGATATTAATTAGATTTTTCCTTTGAGTATTGGCGTTTAAATTCTAAAGCGTACGTGTGCCAGAACACATCACTTTTTTTTTTAAATTAATAAAAAAGCGGTTGATTCTTATGTGGCGGCTTCATATTATGACACTAATTGATTTGATTTGAATTTGAGATTTGAAAATATTATGAGTAATGTGTGATGTTATTATTTGACTTCATATAATTAGTGTATAAAAGAAATTTTTTTACAAATAAAAAAAAGTCCTGCCAGACATATTTTCTCCTTTTCTTGCGTGAACTGAACTTTAAGACAAACAAAAGAACTTTGCATTTGCCCCCCCTTTTTTTTAACATGTTGTTGGGTTAAATTAAATTTGATCATTATCTTTTTTATCCGCCGTTGATCATTATCAAATCTAATTCACAGCACTCTCCTATCCCAGCAAATTTTTTTTCAACAAGGTTGGAATTCTTGATTTCACTTAAAGAAAATTAAGTCTTTTTCATTTCATTCTCAACTACTGTTATTTTTTTAACTAAAATTTCAAAATTATTCTTTTTCAAGAAAAAGCTAACCCTCTCTTATCATCAGAAGAGGCAAGCGGATAAAATTGTTCATGCTCAGGCCGAAAAATGAAATTGATTTCTTCACACTAAACACATGTATCCTTTTATCTAAAGGAATCATATTCAAAGCGTTAAATGTTTAACACTTTTCCTTAAAAATATTTAAATATTAATTAATCATATTGTGAGAAATTAACTCATGTTAGAAAAGAAAAAAACAAGAAATTTTATTATTGGGCCCTCCACTATCAAAGTCACTGGATCGAACGTCATCTGGGCTCAATTGTTTGCATTACATTTTGAAGCTCAACCGCTGGCCTAAAGATTTCGGAAGTCCAAACTTTTTTATTTGAAAAAATAAACAATCCACACGTAATTTAGATGATTCAAATCAAATCTACATCCCCAGGCCCAAAAGTCATGTACGACAAATCTAAATATCTTTCTCTCTTTTTGAACCTGGGAATCTAAATACCTAATTCAACAAAAGGATATACAAAGCGATACACGAATAAAACAGCCTTGTCGTAACCTTGTGTTATAGTAACACAAGTCCACTATTTTTCTTCTTTGAAGGATAATCTTATTTTGTCCGAGTTCTTGAGCCTTCATGTTAATATTCTCATCCCTATTAGTTAAAAGAAGGTATATTTCCGCAGAAAATTCAGCCATAAGAGTACCTTAGAATTATTACTACGACAACTTTTTCTGCCAGGTGTTCTCTTCCCCTAATAGAATTCGAAATGCAAGCTCGACTCCCACTGTTTACGACCGATATGGAATCAAATATCAAAGATTCCAAGCAACAAAACATTCCAATAACAAGTAATAATCACCGCCAAATAGCTGAAAACCCAATACATTTACTACTCCCAGATACCAAAGACAGAGCTAGAAGGTAAAGCTGTTTTCATCAACATGCAAAATCAAACCACAAAACAGGCTCTAAGTCTTCAACTCAACGTTCTTGGAATGCTAATTCAAAGAAATTTCTTGAGTATAAAACCCCACTATTTTTCTTTCGGCGAGTAAATCCCACCACGCGAGACATACTATTTAATGAGAGATCATAGGCTACACATAAAGCTAACTCACGCAAACTCATCAAAAGATGTAAAATTAGTTCATCAGTATAGCCCTCTAGACGAAACACAGAGAGAATAACACACTGAGCATGGAACCCTATCTTTTCTATTACCCTCTGCTTCAAAAGCATGTAATTGACTTCTTACCTCAAAGGACCTATACTCTCACTAGAAATACCCATTTATTCTTTACTACTTAGTAATGATCTGAAGAGAACGCAGCCTAGATAGGGTACTGGTAGAGCTGGACGACCCTCTTCCAAGATGGCCTGTTGCTGATATCATCCCACCAAGCACTCACATGCTTCCTGTCCCTTATCAGATAACCTTTTTTCATTTGGTTCATCAAATAATGCCCAAAAGGAAGGTGGCTAAGATCAGCAAGGCTGAAGAAATCCCCAGCCAAGTACTTGCTCTTCGACAGCCTCTCGTCATAAATGTCCAGAACCTTCCCGAGCTTCTCTTCACTCTCTTGAATCACTTTTGGGTCAGAGGGGGTTCCCAATATTGGGGCAAACAGAATATGCATTACCATGTTGTAGACTGGGGGATGGAAGTTCTGGGCCTCCACTTCTAGCCATTGCTCCACAAGTCCCCTATCTTCTATTGTCTTTCCCAGTAAATCAGTTCCTTGGGATTTGTACTTTTCCGCATAGTACCTGATTATTGCTCGAGATTCTACAGAATAAGTTCAGAACAATACATATTAGCATGGGTAAAGTCAGATTATCAAGGAGCACAAGAAATCATATGGCCATATGAAGTGAAGAAAATTTCAGGACCCTGATGAATATACATGATTAATAGGGGAAAGACAATTGAAGTAACGACTACGATGGGGAATGGCGACGAAGCAAGGCAAGAATGAACAATTTGGTTACCTCACTAGGTCTTGTTTAGATTCCATCATTGAAGTCAACAAGAAATTCCTAATCGATCACTGAGTTATGCGTTTATTCCTCTAGAAAATTTCATATGAAGTGACCAATTTAATTTTAAATTTCGTATAAGAGGAAACCGATTTCAACGAAGAAACTCAAAAAACAAAAGAAACGGATTTTTTTGGGGTTAGGGTTTGCCAGCATTTTCATCGAAGGTCTAGGAACCCCAGTTCGAAATGGACTTGACAAGGTGACGCAAATTAACGAGAAAGATCGAGCTTACAATTCCAAGGTAACAAAATGGCACAACAGAAGGGTATAAACAGATGCACAAAATAGGGTTTAGGTCTAAGCTAACCATAAAGCGTATAATCTCCATCTTGAATCAAAGGAAGCTGTCCAAATGGCTGCAAAAAATATGAGAAACAAGAACAATCACGCATGCATTCGAAAGGAAATCACAGTTGAAAACCAGAGACCGAAAAGGAAAAAATCAAAAGAGGAAAAAAAACCAAGAGATTAGCAGAACCTGCAATTTGAGGAACTCAGGATTCTTGTGCTCTCCCTTGAAGATATCAAGAAGCACAACTTCAAAGTCGATCTCCTTCTCGATCAAACACATAAGCACCCTTTTCGGGGAAGCGTAGGTCGGGCCGTACACCTTCACCGCCATTTTCTTCAATCGGAGATTTCCGATAACCAAGCCAGACGAACAGATTTGAGGAATCCCTATGTTACGTTCTTCTTTTGGCTTCCTCTGCTGCTCTTGGGCTCTTGTGCAGTGGAGCAATTGTAGTAATTGTAGACGTGTCCAGATCCGGTTGGTTAAACTAGAAGATATTTTAAAGTGAACTTGGAAAAAGTAAATAACACGCCTTTTTTTTCCTGGGCCTGAACACCTTTTTTTTTTTTTTTTTTTCAAACTTCGCAAAAGTTAGAGATGATTTATACTCTTCTCATTCGAACATCAAGTCTGGTTGAACAGCGACGTATTGTAGAGGGAATGATTCCGGGGGTTGCAACTTCAACAAATTCGAGAGATAGTTTGTAATAATTTTGAAAAATGAAATTATGTGATTTAAAAAATAAAAAATATGAAAAATGAAATTTGTGATTCAAAAAATAGAAAAAATTATGCAATTTCAAGAACAACTATATTTTTATACTATTAACATAAATATAAAATTTATAATAAACTGCATTATTTATAAATTGTATTAACAATATGTCTTATTTATCAAGCCCGGCGTCGCAGACAGGGACTCACCTAATTGTAATTACAAAGACAAGGAGAAGCATTAAATTGCACCATTGTTGAGAGGATAAGATAATTAATAGTTCTATCAATCATGTTTTAAGAAAAATCAATATCAAGCATGACCCCTAACCTATAGTAAAATTAAGCCCAATCCAAGCATTCAAACTGAAAATTTTGAATTTATTTAAGAGGTATTTGGATTAACTTTTCAAAATTTTATGAATTTTTAGGTAAATAAATAAAAAATATTTTGTCTCGATTTACATGTAAGTACTTGTTAAAATGTTTTTTTGGGGTTTCCAAGCATCCAATCAGTTAAAGGAATAGCCATTTATTTATTTTTTATTGGCTCCTTCTATAGCCAAGCATAACATTACAAGAATTAAGCACTTTTTTAAGTGTTTTTTTGGGATTTTTAAATACCCAGCTCATTAAAGGAATAGCCATTTATTTATTTTTTATTGGCTCCTACCATGGCCAAGCATAGCATTACAAGAATTTCTTAAACTACTTGACAAAGTTAGGGTAGGGATAGAGCTGGAGGACCTTTAGCCAAGAAGGCCTATTACTGATATCATCCCACCAAGCACTCACATGCTTCCTGTCCCTTATCAAATGCCTTTCCCCATCTGATTGGCCACAAAATGGCCATAAGGAAGATGGCTAAGATCAGCAAGGCTGAAGAAATCCCCAGCCAAATACTTCCTCTTTGACAGCCTCTCCTCATAAATGTCCAGAACCTTCCCAAGCTTCTCTTCACTCTCTTCAATCACTTTTGCCTCAGACTTGACTCCCAATAATGGAGCAAACAGAACATGAAGGATCATGTTGTAGGCTGGTGGATTGAAATTCTGGGCTTCCACTTCCAACCATGGTTCCACAAGTCCCCTCTCTTCTATTGTCTTCCCCAGCAACTCAGTTCCTTGGGATTTGTACTTCTCTGCATAGTACCTCATTATGGCTCTGGATTCTGCAGAACTGAGTTTAGATTATCAAGTACCATATGACCATATCAAGTTAATTTTCTGGACCCCTATGAAGGAACAATTATGATTAGGAATGGCAATGAAGCAGGGCAAGACACATTTTGAGGCAAACAGGCACCTATTTTCTTCCCTCATGTTAAGAAGATGAAAGGCAGAGAAATAACAAGGAACAAAGATAATGAAAGCATATTCCACACAATTCAATATTTGGTTGGTGACTTCAACAGTTTTTTTTGTGAAGATTCCATCCTTGAACTGGAAACTACATATGGAGTAGCTAATTGAATTCCGAAGAAACTAAATGGCATAATAACAGAAGGTACGAGAAAAAGGGAGTTTAGGGCTAACCATAGAGAGTATAATCTCCGTCTTGAACAGCAGGAAGCAAATCAAATGGCTGCAAATTTATGAGAAACTGAGAACAATCACAAATGCATGGGAACCTAATAGAGACAGAAAAGGAAAAATTGCGAGCAGGAGGAAGAAGAAGAAGAGATTATTGGGACCTGCAATTTGACGAAGTCAAGATCCTTGTGCTCTCCCTTGAAGATGTCAAGAATCACCGCCTCAATATCAATCTGCTTCTCCATCAGACACATAACCACCCTTTTTGGGGAAGCGTAGTTTGGACCGTACACCTTCTCCATCATCTTCTTCCATTGGCAACTTCCGATCACTATCAGCAAGGGACGCTTACAGATTGGATTTAATTACAGTGTTTCTTCTTTCGCCCTCCTTGCCGCTCTTAGGTAGTGGACTAATAGTGGCACAGGTAATCAAATCAAATATGTTTTTAGAACAGAAATTCTTTTGTCGCCACGCCCCCGGGGGGCCGGGGGTGCCGGCTTTTTACACCCATATACATATAAAAATATATATATATATATATATATATATATATATATATATATATATATATATTGTCTTTGCCTTTCGTTTTGTTGGGAAGCAAAGCCGGCTGCTTAAAATAGATTTTTAATATATCTGAAATTATATAACTTTGACGTTTTTTATGGGAAAAGTTATGTGATTTCTAGAGCTTGATTGCCAACAATAAAATTTTTTTCATCCAGGGATAATTATAAAACTCATCTAGTTCTAAATATAAGATTTATTTTATTATATAATTTATACTATAAAATGAATCTTATATTTAAAACTTAAATCTATTTTCTCTCCAAATTTATAATTTTTTTAAAATATCTATTTTCATGCGTATGATTAAATATGGTAATTTAAGAAAGTTAGCTTTATTTTTTGTAGATAATCAAGTTAAATAAATTTTTTTAAACTCCCTAAATTAATTATCAAGTTATTATATCTAGAACCAGAGATAATAATATCTTGTAAAAATTAGCACACATTTGTCATAAATAACTAATTTACTTAATATTTAAATATGTATAACTTAATTATTTAAACATTACTCCCTCCGTTCCTTATTATAAGAGACATTTGATGCTTATGGCATGTTCCTATATATAAGAGACACTTACAAGTTGTCTCTACTTTTTTGTGTTGATTTACTATTTTACCCATATTTATTATTTCCAACTCACACTCTCTTTCCCTCCCACTTCTCTTTCTTTTAATAATTTAATTGTTCTCTCTCATGTTCTCTCTCCTTATTAATGAGGGCATTTTTGGAAAAAAATTATACTTTTTACACATTAATTGTTCTTAACTAATTTTAACTGTTTTTTTGATCAACGTATTTCGGTTATTTGTCTCTTATAATAAGGAACGGAGGGAGTATTGCATAGTTGCCAGAATATTTCCCCCAAAAAAAAACAGAAAAGATATACATAAGATAGACACAAACATTTGCGGCTGAGACCAGCTATATGGTTGTCTTTCTCATTATAACACTCAACACTGTATTCAGGTTGTGGTCCATTACGAATAATTACCAAGAGTTCGGTAAAGACGTAAAGAGAACTGTATGGTCATTCGAAGAAGATTAATTATTAAATAATAAATCTAATAATATATTATAACTTATGTAAATAAATTCTTGATAGTGATAATATGTAAAAGTTAACTAAATTATAATAAACCTTTGATACATATTTTTATTCCAAAAATATAAAAATATGTAAATATTATTATTCGAAGAAGCAAAGAGAAAGATCTATGAATTGTTAGAAAGGGTAATATGAGTTGAGCCCGTGAATTCAACCCACCTACTTGAAGAAAGTAAGAGCCATTTTGATGTGGTCCTTTCCAACCCGCATTCGTCAATCAGTAGCTCGTCACGGCCTAACCCGCCAACCTGTTTTTTTTAAAAAAATTTTAAAAAATTTTTATTTTAATTTTGATGAGAAATTTTTTTTATCATTTTCACTTAATTAACATATAACTTTGTATTTTGTTAGAGACTTTCATTTTAAATTTGATTTCTCATTTTTTTATTGTTTTACCATTTTTATACTAATAACATAATTATTAACAATGAATTATATATTTATATTTCAACTTTTGAGATTAATTTAATTATATAGTTATATGAAAATATAAGAATAAGAAAAATTTAGTCTATAAAAATTTATAATTTAATTTTAAAAACTTTAAATATACATGTAAAAGAAATTTTAGAAAAACATGGAGGTTGGTGGGTTGGTAAAATGTAAACCCGTCAGGAAGCGATCTTTTCAGGATCGGCCTGCATGGTCTCGAGCCTGCAGTAGGTTGGTCCATAACCGACAGGCCAGCCCGTTTTACCATCTCTACGAATTGTGTCCTAGTGAAAAAATAATAATTATATGGATTAATTGATCTCATGTGAAAACCAATCAAAATAGACAGCCAATCAATTCATCTAATTTTTAATAAAAATGATAAGCCCAATCCAATTTTAGCAATGGTTCTTATTGTTCTTTTAAAAAAAAAAAAGTAACAATTATGATTATGAATGGCAAAAGAAGCAAGGCAAGAGACTTTTTGAGGCAAAAAGACACTATTTTCTTCCCTTGTGTTAAGATAAAAGGCAGAGAAATAACAAAGACCAAAGATAAGGAAAACATATTCATTTTTAAAATATATATGAAATTATATATATTTTTTATTTTAAACAGAATACACAAATTTTATTTTTTTTAAATAAAGTGACTTGATTTTGGGATGGGCAAAAATACGTCTATGATTTCCATTTTGTCTATGGAGGTTGATTATATATATTTTAAGAATTAAAAATTATTTATATAGGGAAATCGCAAATTTTTATTCTTATTGCAGAATAAATTTTGAAAATAAAGATAGTTATACCTAAATAAAGTTAAGAAATAATTTGTACTAGTTTCCCCATTTACGTGGTTAGTAGGGTAGTAACTTCGATTAGAAAAGGGTAGTTATAGAGATTGGACAATCAGGCTTATAATAAAATGAACAGTTCAAATGTGATTTAAAAAGCCTCATGAATCAAGATGTGTCCCTTTGTTAACAGTAAGATCAATTGGATGGGTAGGATGGATGAGGAGAAAATGGACTCAGAGAAGATCTGCTTTCCTATGAAGCCATACATACCTATGAAGCCATCTCCTCCTTTTCCAATCTTCTTCTCTCTACCCTCACATTTTCTCCAGAGGTTCAGATAGGAATTTAATGTTGCCAAGTTGAACAAACAGCTACTAGTTTAGTTCTTCAATGGTTCAAAGAGAAAGAACTATAAGATTTCAAACTAAACTCATAGGGACGTGTTCTATATTCAAACTGAGCCACACATGCTTTTCCACCACTCAAACGATCCAAAACCTATGGATTTCTGCATGCTACTTATCAATTTTAACTCGAAATTCATGGATAATTCAATATTATATCTGTAAACTTTTTGGTCTGTGTTCATCATATGATCAAATGCCATTGGGGGTGATGTTTTTTCAACGTAATTCCTCACAGTAATGTGTCCTGCATTTGATATTATAAGAGTTTGCGGTCTAAACTCTATAGATTAGATATCCTATATTTCAAAGTTTAAGTAAGTTACACAGCACTTTGGGTCCCAAAAAAAGGGGGGGGGGGGAAAAAAGGTTACACAGCTTCATGAAATATAAACTACTCCTCCGGTCCTTAATATAGGACCCAATTCTTGAGTTGATTTTGGTCCTAAATATAAGATCCATTTTTTATGTTTATTAATTTTCTTTAAATTACCCCTATAAATACTATCTCAACCATAATCAAGTGGAAGAGGGAGATGGGGTATTAAAAAAGATGATTATGGTGTTTTAGGAAAAATGTGTCACTTTTCTTATAATTAACTAACTTACCTAACTTCCTTAATCTAATCAAATTATTTAAATGGGTCTTATATTAAGGACCGGAGGAGTATAATACAGACAGTCCAAGTAACGAAATCTTTGACACAATAAACCAAGGAGAATTGTATCCAGAGAGGGGCAACAAACTTCCATTAGCATTACGTGTGAAAACAAATTTTGTGTGGGAAGAACGTTGCCCGACAATTAGTTCATTTATTTTGTCTCTAAAATGTCTCTGGTAGTACCAGTTTATAATCTAAAAGGGTTGATTTTTAGTATTCTCCAATGTATTAATTAATTTAATATGAAAAGAATAATAATTACCAATATACCTCGAGGCCCGAGGATGCTAATGAGTAAGTAAATCCATTCACCCACGCAAAATGATTCTTGAGGTCTTGGAATGCAGAAAAGGAAGCACACATTATAAATATAAATTAATGAAGGATTAAAAACAAATGACTAAATAAATTGAATAGGTTGGTGATTGTGAATCATCCTATTTCTGTTGTTTATGCATACCTGAGTATTTATATCTGTTTGTTATATATATATATATATATATATATTTACAACCCATGAATAAATGAATTGAATAGCTTGGTGGCTGTAATTTTTTTGGCATAGCAAGGGATCATGAGCTCAAACCTCTTTTGGCCATTCCAGTGACCTTATTTTTTTTAAAAAAAAAAATTAACTACAGGCTGGAGCGCCGGTGACCTGCTACCAGAACCTTGGTGAGATTGATATTTTTTATTAATAAAATAATATAAGGGTATAATTTGTTTTCACCCATAACACAATTTCATTTTGGTCCAAGGGGCTAAAATGACCTTTCAAAATTTTATGGGGGCTGTTTGAAGTTAAATTGTTTCAGAGGGGAAAACTGAAATTTGCCCTTATTTAGAACCTATAATAGATGCCTACCCCATAAACCCTTAAAAATATTATAGCCTATCAGATGTGCTCTTTTAACTTGAAAATTCATTATTCACGGTACACAATATAAGCTCAGAAGAATCCATATCAAAGATGTAATAAGAAGAAGAAGAAGGCGTAGAAACTGAATCTAGGAAAACCATGTTGATTAAAAGTCACATTTAAATTAAAACTTATAAAATCGATCACATTACTCCCCAAATTTAAAATCCATAAATAGGACCAGAGGTAGCATTAAAATAAGAGAGACAAGGAGGAGTCACGCATTAAAATTGCCTTGACATGTTCTCATTTCATTAGCCGGTGCACAAATGACGTGGCGATGCCTTGGTTCATATTCCATGCATGGAGATCTGACAACAATGGCCACGACCCTCCACTGGCTTGGAAGATAAGTAACATTACAATCAGATCCATCTCTTGCTAGGGAATCGGAAATGGGGATTACAATTCTGCAATGGGATGATGATGATG